ACACTTGTAAAGAACTATTCGGAGGCTAAGGTTCTATTAAAGACCAATTAAATACTGAATATATATGATACCTAACATATATACCGTATAGTGTATATATGATTTAATTATTGTAGGATTTCACAAGTTCAGGTTCAGGAGACAATCACATTTAGTGGAATTTAACGATCACATAATAGTACATAGAAATTAGAATAGATAGTATAGGTCCACTATTCGCAGATATGAATAAGAGTAAATATATCCAAAAGATATAGACATAAACGTTATACATATATCCTAAAATTCCTACATATATCATAATTAGAATTCCTACATATATGTATATCCTATAATTCCTAGATATACCATAGCTATAAATACAGACTCATACTTTCAATCATATGAATATATGTAGAGATATATATATAAAAATCTCAATTTTGATTATATTTAAGGATCTCAAAATCACAAGAATACGGAGTAGACAATGTTTTCATTCAGTCCCTTAGGTGTCTCAGTATCTAGATGGTGTATCAAACGGGCTTCTCTTTGTAACAACATTCTAGACCGATCCCCTCCTCTCGAAGGCATAGGTATATGGTCAATCGCAGTAAAGCGTAGAGTCGGTAGGCAGTGTCCAAACTCCCAAAAATGTTTGGCCACTGGTTTGTCACTTGTTTTATCCCGAAAGGCAGTGGTGATGGTAGATCGGTGGCCTCATATCCGATCTCTAAAAGTCAGGTTAGTTTTTCCAACATAGGATAGGCCACACGGGCAAGTAATCATATAAATCACATGGTCAGTGGCACATGTAATATATTGGTTGATGTTTATTCTTCGTCCATTATGTGGATGGGCAAATGAAGTTCCACTGACCATGTGACTGCAGGTGACACATCCACTGCATTTGAAGCATCCCTTTTTGGTAATTTTTGGGGGGATTTGGTAACAATGTCTAGGATCGTTTTTTACAAGCAAGTCTCTGAGATTTTTATTTCGCTTATAACTGAGTACAGGACGATTTTGGAAGGATTTCGGCAATTGCTTGTCGGCTTGTAATAATCCCCAATGTTTATTAATAGAATTTTTGATAACTGATGTACCAGTATGGTATGTCATTGGAATATATATTTTAGGTATTTTAGGTATGTGTCACCTGCAGTCACATGGTCAGTGGAACTTCATTTGCCCATCCACATAATGGACAAAGAATAAACATCAACCAATATATTACATGTACCACTGACCATGTGATTTATATGATTACTTGCCCGTGTGGCCTATCCTATGTTGGAAAAACTAACCTGACTCTTAGAGATCGGATACAAGGCCACCGGTCTACCATCACCACGGCCTTTCGGGATAAAACAAGTGACAAACCAGTGGCCAAACATTTTTTGGACTTTGGACACCGCCTACCGACTCTACGCTTTACTGCGATTGACCATATACCTATGCCTTCGAGAGGAGGGGATCGGTCTAGAATGTTGTTACAAAGAGAAGCCCGTTGGATACACCGTCTAGATACTGTGACACCTAAGGGACTAAATGAAAACATCGTCTACTCCGTATTCTTGTGATTTTGAGATCGTTAAATATAATCAAAATTGAGATTTTCATATATATATCTCTACATATATACATATGATTGAAAGTATGAGTCTGCATTTATAGCTATGGTATATCTAGGAATTCTAGGATATACATATATGTAGGAATTCTAATTATGATATATGTAGGAATTTTAGGATATATGTATAACGTTTATGTCTATATCTTTTGGATATATTTACTCTTATTCATATCTGCGAATAGTGGACCTATACTATCTATTCTAATTTCTATGTACTATTATGTGATCGTTAAATTCCACTAAATGTGATTGTCTCCTGAACCTGAACTTGTGAAACTCTACAATAATTAAATCATATATACACTATACGGTATATATGTTAGGTATCATTTATATTCAGTATTTAATTGGTCTTTAATAGAACCTTAGCCTCCGAATAGTTCTTTACAAGTGTAAAATATTTGTATAAATATACAATTTTTCCATGACATCCCAAATATTGTTTTTAATTATAATCTTCACACCTTTAAAAATCGATTAATATAGATCGATTTTCTATTTCACGTACACAATTGGTACTCGCTAATCTTATTAATCACACAATTCATATCACTCGGCTTTATATAATTTCACTCAATCTATCGATTGGTGACAATTCACCTATATACTATTAAATAGCGCTACAGCATTTATATATGCTGTTTAAGAGACAATATACCCTATACATATCACTTGTTGTTAGCTGTCACACTCTCTAATATAGGGCTTTTTCAAGCCGGTATCTTGCACTGCCGGCTTTACACTAATTGTTGATACTGGTCTCTTAGCAACCACACACGTACCTACGTCATCACGTGGTGTCTGTTGGACACTTCCGGGTTTCGAACAGGGATAGGCGGGACACAATCACTATTGGTGAGTACAATTTTCACTTACCTTATATAAAGTTTGTTTTTTAATGTGTATTTGATCTTGAGGAAGACCCGAACGGGTCGAAACGTCGATCAATGTGTTACAATATGTAACGGAATAAATATCTCTGAAATATTTAAAAAGACCAGAGAGTGCACCCTCTTTATTGATATATTATATACCTCAGCATGGGATAGCACCAGGGCATAAGATCTTCAGTACATCAGCACGGGTGAGTGCCATTATATCTATAATATATATATATATATATATATATATATAATTTCAGTTCTAAGTGTATTTTGATGTTAATATAAACAATTATATGTGACCACTATGATCATATGACTCGTATCGCATGGATTGGGTTCAAGGGGACAGCCTGGGTTGTCAGACAGGTCCCCAAATTGCGATCGGCATTGAGGATAAGTATCCAGCCCAGTGAAAGAGTCACATCTTTAGGGCATGCTATGCCATCCTAACGGCGTTAAAGCCCATCTTTTGTAGGATAGCATAGCGATTTTTATTTTTTCGAAATTATATCTAAAATCTGAATACACAGAGGGAAAATATAAGTTGCATATGGGGGGGCGGGGCCAGACAGCCATCCTGAATGGCCGCAACTGGAGTGAACTCTGTGCAATAATTTTTTTTAATCTTACTAGTTAATACAAGTTGCTTGAGAAAACCTGCACTATCTGTGCTGGGAACAACAAAGGTCTTGCTAATCCGATTTTTGAGGCATTTTGAAACAAAGAGCAGTCCGAACTCAAAGAACCTTTGCGGCCTACCTGAGGGTGCTGGCAAGGGAGAAGTGGCCGATCTCACCTCTGGCATTTCTGCTGGAATTGACTGAATGAGATAGGGCACTTGTTTCCCACCCTGCCGGTAAAGGATATCCCGGTACCAGCTTCATCTCCGCTACTGCTGGTGGGACAGTGACTCCAAAAGTGAATCAGCAGCAAGTGGTTAGCACCGCCGTTCATACTAAGATGGCGGATGTCTCACACACCCCACTTTCCAGAGACCTGTTGGAAACCAGTCTGGCACGGCTTGATAAGATAATTAATGAATTCTGGCTGAAGTTATATGGTAAACAGCAACTGGTTCAGGGACACGATGGAGCAGCGGCTCCCTGTAGAATTCACTTGCTGATGTCCAGCAAACCAAGCCTACTGTTGCCATCGCATTTGCCCAATCAAAGGAACCGATGAAGACACCACAATTCTCTGATGCATGCCTGTGTTCCGGGTAACCTGCTACCCATACCAAAACTGCTTCAACAAGCTGAATTTGTTTCGATGCCTATTGGAACCCTTTAAGGTGTACTTAACAGATAGCGAACAGCGTAATCAACATTAAGAAATAGGTTTATAAAAATTACACTATGTTGAACTATTATATGGCTTCAAAGCAAGCAAGCTATTATTTTCACAGGCTTGATAGAAAACTGGTTAACACGAAAAAGATTTTTGAACAATTCAAAAGAAACGCCATAATGAACGGAGTGCAAAGAAATTCCCCCCAAAAAACTATCCGACTCCCTGTTGAAAGGTAACTGGACACCGGGGAAAATAGAGGGCTGGTAGAGATCTGTGGTCCCCTGGTCACCGTGCTCAAAGCTTCCAGAAACCGCAGGAAAGTGCCAAATCAGGCTTCCAGGCACAAGTGAAATTATCAACTACAATCCTAGGCTGGGGGCCTCAAGGGGACTACAATCCTGGGCTTGGGGCCTCGAGGGGACTACCCCTGGTGCATTGCTCACATCCCTGGAGGACACATCATCTGATACATTCCATGCCTCAATATATCCAGGACTTTGATCACAGTTCCAAGTGTAACCTGATCAGTGAGCAACGCATATGGGCTCTTAATGAGGTATGGGGCCTGTGGAGTGGCCAGTTCTGGATAACTGGGACTCTAAGTTTTTATGGGAATCTTAGTGTTAGCAATGGAATTGGATGACCAGAATGTTTGCAGGGCAGTGAACAATGTGCAGAGCAATGCTTAAGTTTAATCCTTTGGGCAAAATCTGCCATTTGCACCAGCGAGCATGGATCCGCAGTACATCTACCAGAAGTATACTTTCACTTGACTATGTCCTATCTTACTTTCTCCATTCTATATGCTATTCATGGTCCATTTCTTGTCTAATGTTTTCCTGCATTAAGATTTTGTTTGATAGAGATGGGCTATATGCCAGCTTTTATTATACCCTAGCTATTTTTGACTATGTCTTATACCTCATGTCTTCTTACCAGCCACGTCCTTGTACATGGGACTCAAGCCTGTAATGTTTAATTCTTATATAAAATTTTTTTTAAAAGCTGTTCTATCTAAATGTCATGTTATACGTCTTAATTTTCATGTTTTATCGCATCTTGTTGACATGTCCCTCAAGCTTGTATGCACGTCAAAAATAAAAATGTCAGGAACAAATAAATCCATAAATAAATTTCATATGTTTAGTTTTTAAGACCTGCCAGAAGTCCATGATGCAAAGATTGCTTGGTTCTGTTTAACAGTGATATTTTTAATCCTGGACTATTGAGGGATACTTAACTAGTACTAGAATATAGAACGTTACCTTGGAAGACATTCGCATAAACAGCTTATTCTGATCTTCAGCTGTTCCCATCTTTTCTCTCTTGACCAAATCTTGGAGGCTCTGGTTGTCATCATCATGGAAATATCGAACCCTCTCCTTATCAACATGTGTTGTAACCTAAAGATACAGATAAAGAAACACAGACAACGATCAGTTGCACATTTATTTTATTACAAAGTAATGCAGTTCTTTTTTTGGAGCTTTAAAAAAAAAAAAAAAAAGACATTTTGAAGTCCATCTAACACACAAACAATGGGAACAGAGATTGTGCTCAAGCTTGTTACCATACAATATAGTTAAAATATGGATCTTAACCTACAAAGGTCTTGTCAACCTCTTTACCACATACAATTTCTTCTCTAAGTCACAAGTACACCTCTTCATGATCATAGATGGTCACTTATCTTCTGTTTGCACTGACATCACCAACTCTCTCAGAGAATATCTCATAGGCAGCATCATTCCTATGGAATGCACTACCTCGTTCTATTAGACTCTCCTATTCGACAATCCTAACCAGTCCTTAACTACTCATTTCTTCAGGAAATCATTCTTGTGTCCAATTCCTCTTTCTCCGATGAGTGTTTTCAATAACTCACCTTTCCTATAGATATCATAATTTGTACGTATGTTTGTCCCTTCTGCACATTTTTTTTTTTTACCTCTTGTATTTTCATGCCATTGTTATAGGCAGGGATCTCTTGTTTCTGTTCACCTTATTTGTTCTTTGGTTGGAAAAAAATTAAGAGCATTGGGAGTTTGTCACGGGTACCATTGTTTGTCACTGGGTAAATGGAATTTGGGCTTACATATGCACATACGCTGTACTGCTATGTAAGATCTGTGGTAACATTCTCTTGTCTTCAGTTTTATTACTTTTATTATTTAAGTAAATGTTAACTATAAACATTGGCCTTTTACTGAAGAGGTTCAGTGCATAAAGCTTTACCTATCAATATGTATTTTATAGGACAGTGATGGCTAACCATGACACCATAAATTGTTTCAGGACTACATTTCCCGTGATGCTCAGATAGCTTTTAGACTCTAGACTCTAAAAGCTAGCTGAGCATCATGGGAAATGTAGTCCAGAAACAATTTATGGTGTCAAGGTTAGCCATCACTGTTATAGGAGCATATCTTATGAATATGTGCCATTATTGTATATATTTTTTTATTGCTAGAGTTATGTTTATGACTTTTTCATTTTTCACATACTTTTTTGTTATTTTTAGGGCATGCTCTATGTAATGGTTTAAAAATTGCATACTTTAAGGGGCGGAGCCTAGCCGGGAACCTGGACAAGAGCTGGAAGACCTTCTCAAGAAGCTGGGTCTCGACCCACCACACACCGAGGCAGAGCCTGCGCACTATTGACATAGATGGAGTTCTGGAATTCCAGCCGGGGTCGCCATGACACACCTTGCCCACCGGCGCCACAGCATGGTGGGGAGCCGAGGTCTTTCTCTGTCAAGATCCCACATGAAACCAGGGACTTAACCAGCACCACCGTTGAAAAGTTAATATAATTTTCTTGTTGTTTTCTCTCCTCTACGCTCATTTTGTTTTTTTTTGATTGGTCTACTTATTTTCCCATCTCCCGCTAAAGAGAGATGCGGGGCATTGCCACCCTGTAGTACACACAAACCAAATAGTGTATGGGGGTATGGCCTGGTAGAAGCCCCTGTTATACGGTTAATCTTCCCTCATCATTCCCCACTACTTGTGGATCCGATACCTCCTGGCTCTCTTGGGGAAGGACATCCCCACCATGGGCGCAGTTAACACTCACCTACATACTAATCGCTAAACCCAATGGTGTTTCTACTCTTAGAAAGCTCAGACAGTCACTCTACAAAAACTAAAACCCTCATCTCACATACCTACTAAGGCACTTGACACCACTGATTACTCCAGTACTACTGAATGTATAAGTTACTCATGACTTCATGCTGCATCAATTCATGCCGTTTGTAGACACTCACAACTGTTATTATTGAATGTGAAATGAGAAAAATGAATAATAAAAAAAAAATATTGCATAGTTTAAACCTTTTAACGAACACACAAGTGTAAAAAGAATTTGTAAGTTAATATGTATTATTTAAACATAATATCGTCCTCTAAATGTTGTGTTGGCGTTCTATTAAGTTTTTGTATTGTCACCTTCCTCAAATCCGGTTATAGTACTATCTGTGTGCCTTAAACCTAGTAAAATTATCTTTTTTTTTTTTTTGCAATCTGTGTTTTATTGTGGTAAGAAGCTTACACAAGGCAATAACAAAGTAACAATGATAAACCACATTTTAAATATCGGTATTTGACTTCAAGAAAATGTCAGCATTTAATACACGAACACTATAGGCACCTAAACAACTTTAGCATAATGAAGCAGTTTGTGGTGTATGGCTCATGTCCTTGCAGTCTCACTGCTCCATTCTCTGCCATATAAGAATTAAATTCCATTATTTACAAAGCCTGATTCACACCTCCCTGCATGCGACTTGCACAGCTTTCCTTAATACTTCATGTAAAGAAAGCTCTAATGTTTAAACTTCCTTTATTGCACAGTCTGTTTAACCCCTTAATGACCAAACTTCTGGACTAAAAGGGAATCATGACATGTCACACATGTCATGTGTCCTTAAAGGGGTTAATTTAGTATTATTGATTTCCTGCACTGTTACTAGCTTTCAAGACCCTGCAGGAGCCCCCTGTGGGTGATTAAAGTTCAATTTACAGAGCAGGAGATCGGGTTGAAAATGAAACCAGATCTGCATAACAAAGAGTTCTGCAGACAATACACCCAATTTAACCTACATTTTGTCCTTGTCAAGTGGGAAAAATAAGTTAATTAAATGTTACAGTTTCCTATAGCTTGCTTCTTAGTTCTGCAGTTGTGTTATGATCTCTACTAAGCCACTGGCATATTTGAAAATTTAAAGCGACATTCCAGGCACCAATACATTAGTATTAGTTAGTGTATTTTGGCTTCACAAATATTTTTTATTTTAGTACTTTAAAATCTTTCTGTGTAAAACAAGCCATAGCTTATTGAATAAGCTTCGAAGAGCTCTAAAATGTGTTAGAAACATAATTTCACGGTTTAGTTGGGAATTCATTCTGAATCCTGCACATGTTGTTTTAAAGAAAATGCAGGCACTTGAAACATGAGCACAATGAGCTGCGCTGACATTTGGAGTCTCCACACTCTACATGGACATGTGTTTAACTATCTGCAATTCTGCTGGCCTATAATATTTCTAAACAATGGTTATGTCACTGAAAACCAGAAATAACTTAAAAGACAAAAAGAGACCTACATAGTTTACACCATTAGGCCAAAGGGTTTTAGACCTTCCTAAATCATTAAAGGGACACTATAGTCACCTGAACAACTTTAGCTTAATGAAGCAGTTTTGGTGTATAGAACATGCCCCTGCAGCCTCACTGCTCAATCCCCTGCCATTTAGGAGTTAAATCCCCTTGTTTATGAACCCTAGTCACACCTCCCTGCATGTGACTTGCACAGCCTTCCATAAACACTTCCTGTAAAGAGAGCCCTATTTAGGCTTTCATTATTGCAAGTTCTGTTTAATTAAGATTTTCTTATCCCCTGCTATGTTAATAGCTTGCTAGACCCTGCAAGAGCCTCCTGTATGTGATTAAAGTTCAATTTAGAGATTGAGATACAATTATTTAAGGTAAATTACATCTGTTTGAAAGTGAAACCAGTTTTTTTTTCATGCAGGCTCTGTCAATCATAGCCAGGGGAGGTGTGGCTAGGGCTGCATAAACAGAAACAAAGTGATTTAACTCCTAAATGACAGTGAATTGAGCAGTGAAATTGCAGGGGAATGATCTATACACTAAAACTGCTTTATTTAGCTAAAGTAATTTAGGTGACTATAGTGTTCCTTCAATGTTATGATTGTATTACAATAAAAAGTAAACTTTCAATAGTTCAATAAGATAATAGTAAAGAAGCCCTATCGGACCATTAACAAGTTCAAGTAATTCAAAATAGAACAGAATAAGTGATAAGTCCAATGTTTACTTCCACTAAAAACAAGGAAATAGACCGGACAAATAATTTCTATTAAACTCCTTTAAAATGTAGTAACATTTTTACACCAGTAGAGGTCTCCTCTCCACTCTTGACTATTGTACAAAAGTTTAACAACTCAAAGATGAAAAACTAGACTAGAAGAGTAGTACCCCCTCTGCGTTTCACCTGTTACTCAAGATCATCAGGAGTGTGCTACTAAAAACCAGGTTCCAATCCTGGCCAGATCACCGTGGGCAAGACATATAATGATATCTATCAATCTAACTATGCTGCAAGTGTAATGTTTGTAAGTTCATTTGAGCAGGGCCTCCCTAATTTATTCTACAAATTTATTATGAATGGTCAAAAATGGTCATTGAGGTTACTAACAAAGAGTTAAAGGGATACTATAGTGCTAGGAATACAAATCTGCATTCCGTCATTGTAATGGTTAATAAACCCTTACTATACTTACTGAATCCTGCGTCGATCTCCCTTAGCGCTGGGTTGGCGTCCGCCACATATACTGTACATCCATCTGGCCCTCACCTCCCGCGCCCCTCAGGCATTGTAAGGGTTAATAAACTCTTACTATACTTATCTGATTCCAGGGCCAACCACCCTCGCCAATGTGACAGCGCTCTGCCCTCTTCGACGCCACCCGATGGGGAATCGTTAATGCGCATGCACAGGGAGCGTTGCAAGCACATTAGGTCTTCCCCAAAGGAATTTTACAGATGCTGGATGTTCTCATGAAGAGCATAAGGACATCCAGCATCAGTTAGGCAGCCAAAAGTCGCCTAGCAATGAGGAAGTGCCTCTAGTGGCGGTCTGAGTGACAGCCACCAAAGACAGTCTTAACCCTGCAATGTACCGTAATGTTTGCAGTTTGTCGGAAATTGCAATAATTAACACTGCATGGTTAAGGGGACAGGGGCACTGCACCTAGACCACTTCAGTGAGCTAAACAATATGACAAAACATGTAATATTGTTTTGTCTTATCTGCCGTCACATTCTATGTTTTTATGTGTATGAAGAAAAGTTAAGAATAAAACTTTAACTATGTCTCAAAACAGGCATTACTCTTTAATGAGCAACAGTAGCAAGAGACCATTTCCAAAAGCTCCATCTCATCCACTTAATTGTTTATTTAATATCTGAACCGTAAGGGTAATAATTGTAAGCCCCTGTGGGCTAACATAAAGGATTACTCTATTACACATTTCTATTTATATTAGAAAATTAAAATTTCCCGATGATTATAGAGCGTGATACGCTCTCTCTCTAACACAGCTCTCTCTTGTGGGGTTTATTCCACTAAACCTTAAACACAAACACATACATTAAGGGGGTTTCATGCTGTTAAACATTATACTACCCCTTTACTACCCCTTTACAATGAGATTAGCATTTTTAATTTTGTTTATAAAGATAATTACAGTTGGCAGTGTTTACTTGTTTGTTTGTTTTTTGGAATATTTGAAGCTGGATACGTAGCAATAATCTGGAACGACTGATGCAAAGATAAGATCACATATTGCTTTGTATTCTATATGTACTTTGTCAAATACATAACAACCGCAGGACTATCCACTAATCTAAATGAATTCAAAAGACTTTAGACCAAAAAAGCAAAATGGAAAAATGATCAAAGCCTATCATGTGGTCGATTGGAATGTTACAGATTATTTTATATGCCCCAGCCTACATTCTCGGAGTACACACTGAATTCTGCGCCCAGCAAAATCAGCACCCTATGTCTGCACTCCACTTTATCAAGGGGACCTTGCAGTCTGCAATAGAAAACCTCTTTTGAAAAACCTAAATTAACGCTTTAGGGGAGGGTTCCTTTTTTTTTTGTTGTATTTAACATTCAAATCGGCAAAGTAAAAGGATTGCTGTTCCTTTATTCCGCATTTTGAAATATCATAAAACAATGTAACAATACAATGATGTGTTACCAATCGCATAGGATCCGGTATTCGACAAGTTTCGTGACTCCTGACACTTTATCAAGTTCCAGTGAACCAATTTTTGAAGGTTACTCTGGTATACCGTAGCCTGTGAAATACTGCTGATAACAAAAGAAATTACTCCAACAGCAGTGCAATGACGGGATTTCTTTTACGATTTTTTTCTATTTTGGATTGTTGTAATTAACAGCAGCCGGTAGGTATTAGTAGTCACAAAAATAAATAATAAAGGGCACAGGTGTTCATCTGCACACTTTACCAGGTAGGTCTTGTGAAAGAGCTTTAGATGTCAGATCCCTGTGAATTTGAGATATGATAACTAGAAAATAAACGGTCTAAGATGCCAGTACTGATAGTTTTCAAATGATACTGTATATATGATATGCAGTCTCCGTGAACACTATAAATATGTAAACGTTTTAGAGACCAACAAGAATTATACTTGGTGTGTGCAAGAGCGTTGAGCCATTCTTTGCTACCGTAACATGTTAGAACTGTGACTGTTCCGTATTAGAATGTAATGCACCGTTGTGTCTTTTCAGAATCAAATCACTCTTCCTTACGGTGAGTCACTGCTACAGAGAAAAAGACCTTTAGAAACGATCTATCTTCTTAAATATCATTATCAAATCTGAATCGGAATTATCAGGTTTAATCTAGAATAGATTTGTTCTAAGTATGTGTAGTCTAATGTACTGTATAACACGTTATTGATGAGCAGTTTGATACTCCGATTGATCATTTGCACCACCATTATAACTAGTGAAAGGTAAAGCATCATCATTTCTCACGATATTGGCAATCAATCAATTGAAGTCTTCTACAGTACAATATAGAGAAGCTGGACAACATGTGGCCAGTAAGTTAGCCAAGAGCTAGGTAAAGAAGATAGCGGGGCCAAAGGCAAAAACTCCCAGCACTGACCTATAAAATGGCAGGTTTTAAAATAATTCCGGATATTCCAAGTATATCGTTTTACTGAAAAAGCAACATAACAGGTGATGGGCTGGTTAGAGCCGTGGCAATTAACTGTCCTTAAATCCTTATAGATTGTAAGCTCATTTGAGCAGAGACTTCTTTACCTCTTCACTATCATTATAAAGTGCAGCGGAATATGTTGGCACAATATAAAAGCTAATAATAATAGGCAACAAAAGCTAATCAAAATGTAGAAAGTAATATTAATAACAAAACAAAAAATGTAAACAAATACAAATTAATACCATTTGTCTCTTTTTCCTTCCTCCTTTGGGTTCCATTGGATTTGCCGGAGCATTTACTGGCCACGAGCGTCCTGACTGATCTGTCTTAATAAGGAGGATATCATTGTCTTCCTTTGCTTCTGACTCCTGTAAATAAAAGAAAAATATGTGACCCAAAATGAAACCAAAAAATTCAAAATTGTGAAAAAAAAACAACTACTTTCAAATCATAAAATAGTGAGAAGCGTGGGGGGAAGTCCAACATACAGATGTTTTACTCTCAGGCTTTCAAATAAAATATTCATCTAGGTAAATTACTAATTAAACCTTTATAGAGTTAGAGTACTTTGAACTAAACATTTGTGTAAAGTACTTCCTTGGAAAGCTGGCTATTTCTTTCTATTTTATTTTTTTTTATAAAAATCATTAAATTATTCAGATGCACAGAAGGCTTTTAACTTTTATTGCTAATGAAATGCCCTCGGTGCTTGTGCCCTTTAGCAAAAATGATTAGATCTCCTGAGTAAAGGAATTTGCAAGCTGCGAAACACGTAAAAGAAATGAAGTAGAATGAGATCTAAGAACGGATTTCCACAGTGAAACAAAGCAAATAAACAAACTCTTGAAAAACGGGGAGTACTTATTTATTTAAGAATACCTGGAAGAAAAGCTAGGGTGTTTCACAAGGATTCATAAATGAGTTTTATGGAGATGGCTGGGGTGGAAAAAAATCTTTACTGGAGAGAGAAAGGTGATTCGACATGTGCATTTGGCAGCCTTGAGGCACAGAAACAAGCTAGGGTTTTGCACCAGATTCTGTAAGTCTGCAGTGATCTGAATTCAGACTCTATACAAGTCTGATAATACAGACAGGAATGGACTTTAATGACAGATCTGGGTGGGAACTCCTTCAGACTTTATACTGTTTTAACAACACTTTTCGGAATGGTCATTCATTGATACATTCTGAAACAGATTTTTCCAGACTTCTGGAGAAGGAAACAAGGGAAATGTATCTTAATTTATTATGCACTAGATTGTGACTTCTCGGCACAGCGGGAGGGGGACCCTGAGTGTGAGGGCACCATAGTGCCAGGAAAACAAGTCTGTTTTCCTGGCACTATAGTGGTCCTTTAAAGTTTAACCAGTGTTGCCATCTGACAGGTATAAAACGAAAACATATCTTATACACAAAGGTTTGCGCTCTCAGCCAATCTGCACATGCCTCATACCTGAAAGGGAACCATAACTGAAGCTGGTATAATAACGGAACCTACCCTGGGGTAAGTGTAATTCACAAGGAATAGGAGGAAAAGGGGGTGAGGTAAATCAGGATCATGGTAAGAAAATATTGCTACCATGTTACAACAGAAGATAGTGTGTCATTAGACTTACGACACCTTTCTATCAGACCATGTACATGTAACCCAAAGCAAATCTAACAAGAACACGAGGTACCCTGAAACCCATTTAATACCATAAGTTAACTAGATACGATAGAAAAAGGTGTATCTGGCCTCAAGATCTACTGCCAGCAGTACTCTACTAGGAAAAAAAATGTTACTCAGCACCTTGTTACCGAACATTTTACTGAACAACACAATAGCAACATTCTTCCAACTTTTTTTTTCCGAAATCTGACAATGCTCCTTTCCTCCTTAAATGCAGGGGGTGCCTCCTAAATCAGTTCTATTTCATTATAAATAAACCTGGCAAACATTGCAACTGGGATTTCAGAGCTATTCTTGGGTTTTTTATTATTTTGATTGACAAGTTCTGTGATTTCCACAACACCCTAAAGTTTACTGAACCAACATTGTTAACGGGGCCAGGCCATAAATCGGTATTAAACAGGGTTAATTGTTTTTGCCTGGAATTATCATCTCAAGAGGAAACTGTTAAAGGCTTAACACAGGCTAATTAAAAAAAAACAGATACTCCTCTCCTTTGGTTTAATTACATTCTTAGACAGGATATTCTGTGAGGCAGTTGCTTAAAAGCAAAACTGATTCAAAGTTTGCAGGCAATATAACAATTCATGAAAATACAAAGATATATAAGATTGCTGATTTTGGTTGGATTATTAAATGGACTATCAGTAACTATAGTGTCATTGTATGCACCAAATGATGCGCAAAAATCATTTCTCACTATGGCGTTTCGAAAGATAGAACTATATAAGGCAGGACATATATTTATTTGCGGTGATTTTAACTGTGTCCCAGACCCTTCTCTTGATATGAAAAGAATAGAGGATAAACCACTGAAACAGCTATCGGTCCACCTCGGTCAATATTTGAAGACTTTACTGCATGAATTTGACTATTATGATCTATGGCACAATCTCTACCCTAGTGAGAGAGATTTTACTTATTACTCAACAATACATAAGACTTTTACTAGAATAGATCTATGTCTGTTGGACATTAAAACCCTGCCCTTCGCAATCAGCGCACAAATAGGCCCAATAACGTGGTCAGACCACGCGCCTTTAAGCATTAAGATAAGGGTGCCATTTTCGGTAAGGGGGAAAAGTGCATGGCGTTTAAATGACAGCTTATTAGATGCCAACGAATACCTCTCAAAGCTGCAATCTCAGGTGGAGATGTTTTCTAAAAATCATGCTAAATGCCAGACTAATGCTATTACCCAATGGCTAGCCCATAAGGCAGTCAAAAGAGGTATGTTAATACAGCAAGGAGCACGGGTAAAGAGATTACGTTTACAGGAAATGAGTAAATTAGAACAGGAGTTGACCAAGGTGTAGACAACACATAAAGCTGTTCCTACCTCACGTTCACATTCACAATTGATGATGATTCGGTCAGCCTTACATGATTTACAACTTTCAGAAACAGCGAAACATATGAGACTATTAAATCAATCACATTATGTCATGGGAAATAGAGCTGGCAGACTTTTAGCTGGTAAAGTTAAACAAAAAAAATTACGAGCTAAAATCCCTTACATAGTTTCTAAAAGGGGTGATAAATTATATAATCCCCAGGATTTAGCAAATGAATTGGCAATTTACTATTCAACGCTTTATCAATTAGAGAAAGATACTAATACACACCAACCATCTGAGGAGGAGATACAGACCTTTCTAGAGAGGGTCCCTCTACCTAGGTTAACACCATCTCAATGTTCCTTCCTCGAAAAATCATTGGAGGAAGAAGAGGTAGAAATAGCAATAAACTCCCTTTCTAAGAATAAGGCTCCCGGGCCTGACGGGTTCTCAAATTATTACTGCATAAAATTAGAAAAACAATTGACCCCAATCCTTACTAAACTTTTTAACTATATAAAAGATACTGGTGCCATTCCCCAAGACATGCTGGAAACACATATTGTGGCTTTACCTAAACCTAATAATTCACCCACACAGAGTGAAAATTTGAGACCGATATCCCTACTTAATACGGATATTAAGCTTTATGCTAAATTAATAGCTTCACGACTTAAATACCTCCTTCCAGACCTTATCTCGGAGAAGCAAGCAGGGTTTATACCTAGGAGACAGATAGGGGATAACACTAGACATTTTGTGAATCTGGTGGAATGGGCAAACACTTCATCACAACAAGGATTAATTTTAGCATTAGATTCTGAAAAAGCCTTTGATCGCCTGCATTGGGGGTATATGTCTCTTATGCTTACTAAAATGGGTTTTCCATTGGCTTTTCGAGCCAGCATATTAGCATTATATCAAAATCCGTCCGCAAAAGTGTTTAAAGCTGGCTTTTTTTCTAATAAGAATATGTAATGGTTCTCGCCATGGCTGTCCCCTTTCGCCCCTCATTTTCATCATATGTATGGAACCCGTAGTAAGAATTATTAAACACAACACTAGTATAAAAGGCCTGAGTACACCAGGGGCCATTTTAAAAATGGCGCTGTTTGCGGACGATATTCTGCTCTTTATTAAAGATCCGGAGCTCTCCCTACTATCACTGATTAAGCTGCTAATAGAGTATGGGCAGGTATCGTATTTTAAAAATAATGTAACTAAAACACAAGTGCTACCTATTAAATTACAACAAACTCTGATAGATAAATTGAAGTCACAATATAATTTTGATTGGCACACTTCATTTATAAAATATCTGGGAGTTAAACTCACTAAAGCAACCAAAACATTAACTAAAGTAAATCATTATCCAATGCTTTAGCAAATTAAAAACACAATGGCAAAATAGGAAGGTTTGGAGATTTCATGGTTGGGCCGTATAAATCTCATTAAAATGATATTACCTCATATATTATATATTTTTAGAACATTACCTATAGCACTCTCCAACAAATTACTTAAGCAACTTCAGAGTACCATAAATGCTCATATTTGGAAGAGGAAACCCCCTAGAGTGGCACGAGGGAGCTCAGGTCTTTCATACGTTAAAGGTGGTCTGGGGATGCCAGACATTAAAACATATTATAGGGCAACCTTCCTAGCAGAAGGGATTAGATTACTGAGATTTAGGAAAACCTCTCAATACCCAATTTGGTTAACACTTGAAAATGCATGTTTAGATGCAAATAACATAATATATTATCTATGGACATGTTCGGTTCCCTAGTTTCCTTTAAAATCTATGTTACAAAGCACAAAACTCTTGTTAAGATTATGGAAAGAATGGTGTCCATATGTAATAAATTTAAGTCTGATGTTTAGAGCTGCACCAATAACGGCATTAGCGGCCCTTTCTTTGGACCTTCAGATGAGGAGATGGCAAGAGAAAGGGGTAAAACAAATAGGCAATTTAATGAATGGGCCACAAGTAAAGCTATTTCCTGATCTTCAAAAAGAATTAGATCTGGAAGCTAAAGATCTGTTTGCGTATTTAAGGATCAAGAATATAATAAAGGCACATATTTTGGACAATCCATATATTGATGTAAATACCTTATCTAAGCCAGAATTTATTTTGTCTATGGTGCATATTTTTTGTGACTGTCTCTATTTAAGAGAGTTTTGGAAATGAATTGAGAATTTGATTTACGACAAGACAAAGCTTGCTATCCCCTTGCATGCGGAGAAATTTGTATGCCACATTATTCCAGGAATTAATATTCATCCCCATAGAAAAGTGATTTTAAATATTCTTACGGTAGCAAAAATCGCTTTAGCAAGTAATTGGAAGAAGAAAGTTATTCCATCAGATGAAGTAATACATACCAAGCTGAACAAGATTAGCGCATATGAAAAGATGGCCAGTGACGTTAATGGATGCCTTGACAAATATAAAAAAAGAATGGCACAGCTGGATGCTTAATCAGGTGCTCTAGCTTTAAAACAAGGAAGTGGTGAGAAATTAGAAAATGAGGTCCGATAGAAGCTGTAGCTGGGGCTAAAAACTCGACACATAAGGGTGAGCTAGAAGCTTGGTATAACTTAAAAGGGGAAGAATCCCCTTGGAATATAGTTAAACATACCCAGGTAAAGTAAGATTTCTGACTGGAGTATGCTTTATACAAGGTGGTTAGGGACAGTAAAGAGTAGACTGGTATGTAAATAGGTAACGTGGAGAACAACCAGGGTTTTTCTTTTCTTTTTTTTTTTCCCTTTTTTGTATTTTTTTTTTTGTATTTTTATCCCTATATTTAGTTAAGGAAACTATAAACTAATAACGCAACGGATTAATAAAGTAGTACATCACAACTGTAAGTTAGTTCATTATAATCTAATAATATGATCAGCACAACTAGGAGTTGAATGGTATGTATTTACTAAACTAATGTATTATTAAGGCAACATGGGAATGTTTTAATATGAATGCTTATAATGATGAATAATATAAAGGCTGTTACTGCAAGTGGCTTGAAGGAAAGGGATTTTATTGATGGATAATGTTTAAAATGTGACGTACTGCCTGTTTTCATTTTTTTTGGCATTAAAGGACCACTATAGTGCCAGGAAAACATACTTTTTTTCCTGGCACTATAGTGCCCTGAGGGTGCCCCCACCCTCAGGGTCCCCCTCCCGCTGGGCTCTGGGGAGAGGAAGGGGTTAAACTTACCTCTTTCTCCAGCGCCAGGCAGGGAGCTCTCCTCCTCCTCTCCGCCTCCTTTGCTGAATGCGCACGCGCGGCAGGAGCAGCGCGGCCATTCAGCCAGTCTCATAGGTAAGCATTCATAATGCTTTCCTATGGACACTTGTGTCTTCTCACTGTGATTTTCACAGTGAGAAGCACGCAAACGCCTCTAGCGGCTCACTAGAGGCTTTAGAGGCTGGATTAACCTATTTATATTTTTTCTGAAACTGCCATGTTTATAAAAAATAAAAAAATAAAAAAAGGGTTAACCCTAGCTGGACCAGGCACCCAGACCACTTCATTAAGCTGAAGTGGTCTGGGTGCCTATAGTGGTCCTTTAATTAAAAAAAATTAAAATAGAAAAAAAAAATTCAGATAGAATGAAAAATAAACAAACAAAACAAATTGCTATACAGTCTGAGTAATGCATGCATGTCGATGATCCTTCTGTCTATCCCTTCGCTGTAACGAAAGTAATATTCGATGCAGATATGAATGAAGACATCGCTCCTATCAAATAAGCTTTTAACACGTGCTACATCTGTCCGTGTGAACATGCGCCAGTTAATCAGTATTTTTTCACTAACATGATACAGCAATATGTGCTCTAAAAGCCTCATGCAATGCATGTAGCCTTCTTTTCCTTTCTTTTAGTCAGAATTTGGCCTGTTCTGAGATATCGCGTGTTACCTTCTGCGCTGACCTCTGGCGTGTTTCTGATTATCTGGTGCTTCTCTTCTTCTGAGCTATTGTCCTAAGCTTGCCATCTCCTACCTGTGGTGCTTGCAGCCAAGCATTATGCAACATCTCTCATAAAAACAGGACTGGAATGCTAATGTGCCAGCTTCCGGACGCCCTAATTTCAAAATCAGTAAATAAAGGAAAACATTGCGTCTTTCTCAGAAACATTATATCACAATGCAGATAAGCCATAATTCTAATTAGTTTGATTTAAGCATCAACAAAATTGTACTTGACTGTTCCTTTAATATTTAAACTGGGAATGACAAAAAAAATGGTATAATATTTTATATATTGAATTTTTCTGGTTTCAAGCTGCTCTGCGAGGTATAGTTAAAATGTTCCATTAATGATAATCTAGGTAGCACTCAATTCTAATAGGTCACAGGGGGAAAAGGTGAACTTTATATTTGGGTGGGACTGGTGAAAACTTAAAATTGATATTAAAAAGTCTATTCAAAATATGAAGAAAATTGCACAAAGATGGACAAATAAATGTCATCGATAGACGGCTTTCATCTCCGCATTACAATGATAGCGCCTTGAATGGATGAATGGAGACGGACAAGGGAAAAGGTAGTGTAACAACAGTAAGAATGAACACAGACAATAAGTGCAGGGAAACTGGAAATATCAGATTGAAATTATAACAATAATAAAAAAAAGTATTTAATAACCAATTATCCTCTCCACTGGATTTGTGTGGTTTGATTTCCCACAAGCTTCGTGTTATAAACAAAAGACATGATGCACAAGCTTAGAAAGAGAGAAAAAAAAATGTTTTTTGTTCTGTGTATAATTAATCTCATTTTTGTTTTAGATAAGACGTCTAATTACTTTTTTTCCTGGTGTAATGATTCAAACGAGACACTTAGGGCAATGCAACAGTTTCATGTGTAGAATAGAAATGAATCTCTAAAACTAAAAGCTATTTTTGAATATTGTATTCATACAGGGCTATCAAATTGGGAGGCCTTTTTAAGTTACTATATGGAATGGACATATACAGCAAACGTTTATTTTATTGTCTAACAAACGTACCTGGAATTTTACATGTTGCATTTTAGTAAAAAGGTGGAATAGTTATTATTATGTTATTATTTACATAGCACCAAATTCCGTAGCGCTTTACAATAGGTGGACGAACAGACATGTAGTTGTAACCAGACAAGTTGGACACATAGGAACAGAGGGGTTGAGGGCCCTGCTCAATGAGCTTACATGCTAGAGGAAGTGGGGTAATGTGACACAAAAGGTAAGGATAGTATTAGACTAACTAGAAAAGCTACACTTTCTGGGGAAATTGTGTGAAGTGTTCTTGTATCCACCAGTAGTCTACAACTGGAGTGGGCGGAGTAACTGGGTGGAGTGGCTTGAGTAACTGTGGAAAGGTTGGACTGGACAGAGTAACTGTGTGGAGTGTTTGGAGTGAGTAAAGATAGTAAACATTACACTAACCAATTGATTGATCAAATTTAAAAAGTGCACATGGCAAGCTTGATAGAGTGAGAAATGCATTTCCACTTTTATTTATTTATATAGCACATTTAATTGCAACGTTGTTGCCCAAAGTGCTTCACAGTTACATTAAAACATACATTTCTAAAAACATTAGCAGGTGTACAAAAGGCCCTGTCTATGACATCACTTGCTGCTGCAGCCTGGCACAGGTCAGAGAATTTTGGTGGTTGCCATCTTCAAACGGTCGTATTTAAAAAAACTATACATCCTACAGCAAAGAGCTTTATATTGTGAAAATCACAAGACCCAGACCTACATTTAGATGAATAGTATTTTTCTGCAGTATTAAAAATTAAGGCACAGTCACAGTTTAGAAATTGCACTTCAAATTTGAGCTTTGCAGAGTGAAGTTTCAATGAATGTCAATGGACGGCGTTTGTTGCAAACAAATGATTATATTGTGAAAACTATCAGGACTATGGCTTAGCCGTTGACATGTTTAGTGGCAGCATGGATAGCTGAACGTTTTGATATAAGATTTGTCTTTGTGGGCCTGAAAATAAGGGAGTGGTGGCAGTTTAGAAATCATGTCCTGATTTTTCAGCTTTTGCCAGCTCCCACTCTAGCTTTGCCATCCATTCCTATGGGACAAATTGCGCCACAAGAACGACGATATTCCGTGAACCATTCGGCGAAATGTTCCACAAAGTAATAGCAATCCGATCGGGAACAATCTGCACGTTTTGGTAAATTTTTGTCTATGTAGTGTAAAAACTGTGGGAGGAGTTAGGGTGGCAAATTTTGCTATAATAATAATAATAATAATATATATGTGAGATAACAATAAGTGTTCTTGCAAGAACACTTAACTAGAAAAGCTACAATTTCTGGGGAAATTGTGTGAAGTGTTCTTGCCTCCACCAGTAGTCTACAACTGGAGTGGGCGGAGTAACTGTTATCATTTATATAGCACATTTAATTGCAACATTGTTGCACAGTTACATTAAACCATACATTTATAAAAACATTAGCAGGTGTTCAAAAGGCCCTGTCTATGACATCACTTGCTGCTGCAGCCTGAGACAGGTCAGAGTATTTTGGCGGTTGCCATCTTCAAACGGTCGTATTTTAAAAATTTGGCTATAATAATAATATATATGTGAGATAACATTAAGTGGTCTTGCTATGCAAGAACACTTAATAATAATAATAATATATATGTGAGATAACATTAAGTGGTCTTGCTATGCAAGAACACTTAATAATATATATGTGAGATAACATTAAGTGGTCTGGCTATGCAAGAACACTTAATAATATATATGTGAGATAACAATAAGTGGTCTTGCTATGCAAGAACACTTAATAATATATGTGAGATAATAGTAAGTGGTCTTGCCATGCAAGAACACTTAATGACAGTTGCAAAAGAGCAATCAGTCGGGAGCTATTAACAGTTTAATTGATACGCTTTTATGAAGAAGTGGGTTTTTAATGATTTGTTGAAGGAGTAGAGACTGGGTGAGCATCTAATGGAGAAGGGAAGCGAGTTCCACAGGAACGGTGCAGCCCTCGAGAAGTCTTGAAGGCGAGCATCAGAGGTGGGAGTACGGCCAGAAGATAGACGTAAGTCTTCAGCAGATCATAAGGGCCTACACTGGACATACTTGTGTATAAGGGAGGATAGATAGGTGGGAGCAGCATTGTGTAGAGATTTGAAAGCAAGAACCAGAATTTTAAATTGAGCCCTACATCTTACAGGAAGCCAATATAGGGACTGACAGAATGCTAAGGCGTGGGAGGTACGGGCGGACAGGAAGATGAGCCTCGCCGCCGCATTCATTATGGACTGTGATGGCGCAAGTTGGGAGCACGTAAGACCACTGAGAAGCGGATTACAGTAGTCAAGGAAAGGACAGTGGAATGGACAAGCACATTAGTCACATCTGGCGTTAAGAAGGGTCGGATGCACGCAACGTTTTTGAGATGGAAACGACAGGATTTGGCTAAGGAGTGAACATGAGGCTTGAAGGAGAGGTCGGAGTCAAAGAGAACACCTAGGCAGCGAGCCTGCGTGGTGGAGCTGATGGTAGCACCGTTGATTAATTATAATCCATAGTTCATTAATTATACAGTTTAGATATATCTTTGCTAAAGAAGATAGATACTTCTTGGACCATAATTTATGCAGAAAAACATAAGACCTTATGGTACTTAAACTGTCCCTTTAAGGGGTTCAATTTGTAACCCAGGATGATTGATGCTCTAACTCCTCTCTTTCCAAACACTTTAAGACTGGAACCTGACTTATAAAAAAGACCAGTAATCCTAGGCACAGCTAGGGTGCCTGTAAGGGACAAGCAAATTGATTGTCCATCTTGACTTTCGAAAATATCTGCAGGTATACTGCGAAACAAAAATTAACAACAGAATCAATGTTTTTTCCAAAGTACAGAGTGGGGGGAAAGAAGCTCTGTATGTTCACAGATATCCGATAATTGCAGAGTAACAGACTGAAAACAACCGTATCTTTTCTGACTTGTAATTGAAACCCTGTTACAGCAAGGATCGCTTGTGCAACTTGACTTCGCGAAATCAAGAAAAATCAATATCAAGCTATTCTAAAAGCAATTTAAAAATAAGTGACAACGATTAAGTGCGATTTGCTGTTGCAACTGTATTGTACCGTGGGCTCAAGCAACCAATACATTGTCCCAGGGGTGGTCAACTTTAGCCATACCGTTATTACTAGACTATATTTCCCATAAGTCTCTGCCAGCCAATAGAACACTGGATTCCTGGCTTCAACTTATGGGATAACAAACCAACTCCAGATACATTTTATTAAACACACAGTGATTTGCTATTAAAACATCAAGTGTTTTAAACTTATCTATTTTAACAATCTATGATAAATGACAAGAGATGCAATGTGCTTTATATGGAATGGCAGAAACAAAATAGCTACTTAATGAATTCACAAGTTGTATATAAGATTTAGAAAAAGTAGCTCTGCTATTCCAATATTTCCAATGAAATACTCTCATCCATGACAAAAAACACAGCATTAAGGAAGGAACATTCCAAGCAAAATAACCTACTGCAGTGGTTATAGTGTCAGAGGTGCGCTGGTGGTCTTCTGTTTAAGAATAGTGTGACAACTTACCTGGGTTCCGCTGGACACCAGACAATGCCTCCCTTGGTACTGGAGGACACCTATCACTTATATTGGGGTTAAGGGCTAGAAACCAGCTTTACATATCGGCACAGAGGCGACCTTACCCAGATTGTCTGACGGAAGACGGAAAACACTCACCCCGCGACGCCCCTTGGTTAGGGGCAATAGACGCTAAGGCTGCGGCATAATCGCAGCATCATTAACTTGACTGGAAGCTACTTCTCTCACACAATCTCTTATGTTTAACTCTGCCTCTCCACACCATCACATACCTCATATGATGGGGTTCACTAACCCTTTAACTACACTCAACTTTATGCAGCATTTATGCCACTTCCCTCTGTTAGCTTCGCAAGCATAACTCCCTCAACACACCGGGGAAACCTGAGAATATGCCCTTCCCTACTAAACTCTCATATCTTGACGATCACTACCATGGTAAAATGTTAGAATAGTGCTATGTCTGCAACATACTTGTTTTTTATTCTTGTCTTTCCTTATGTAATGTTGGTCTCTTGCCTACTTTGTTCCAGCGAGGCCCTACAAAAATGAAGAATTTAAAAAAAGACTCAATCACTGAATCTAATTATGTCTGAAGTCCCAAGTGGATGCCTGTCTGGCACTGCAAAAATATAAAAATGACTGTTGCGCAGAAAAGGTATATTTTTTATTTGGAAGCTGCAGAGGCGGTATATATGCACCGAAATGACTTCATTAAGATAAAGTGATTTTGGTGCTTCGCCTGTTCATTTAACAGGGAGCAATTTCCTACAAAATAGGATAGAAATGGATGTGCAACATGCTAGATTAATATATAAATTATACCAGGTCTAAAAATAAGCTAACCTTCGAACATGCTTCAGAATGATAAGCTTCTGTGAAAATAGCCAATCTCTTCACTTATTGGTTTCTCTATTGCTATTCAGTTATAAGGAATTAATTTTCCATGCCAGCTCACAGGATGCTTTGCAATTTGAGCAGATACTTGCTTGGATGACCAAATAAGCTAAATGTCACCCTCCTATAATACAGCCTCCATACAAGTAAGCATGTAACAACATTGCATGATATAAACAATAGGTTAAACCAGCAGTTCCCAAGCTGTGTGACAGGCACACAGGGGTGCAGCGGAATGTTCCTGTATAGCAACAGGGTAACATTACTGCTGAGCAGGGTCTCGGTCCGGTGCCGCAGTCCTTTAAGACCGCGACCGGCACCTGTACCGTCGGCAGGCTGTGAGGAAGTGACCGCCTGTCACTTCCTTTCAGCCTAATGCAGGGAGACAGGGTGAGAGGGGAGGAGACAGCATAGGAGGGAGAGGAGGCAGCCGCAACATGAGAGGAGAAGAGCACAAAGTGCTCCAGACCACTCACTCCCACCAGCAGGACTTCAAGCCAGCCTCCTGGACTAAGCTAACAGAAGGGTGGCTGGAGATATTACAAATATCCCTTGTGTTTGTCAGAGTGTGTGTGTGTGTGTGTGTGTGTGTGTGTGTGTGTGTATATATATGTCAGTGTGCTTATGTATCTATGTGTGTGCGCGTGTGTGTCAGGTTGTGCATCTGTGTGTGTGTGTCAGGTTGTGCATCTGTGTATGTGTGTGTATATATATATATATATATATATATATATATCAGTGTGCTTCTGTGTCAGTGTGTGTCTCGGTGTGCGCGCACACATCTGTGTTTCAGGATAGAAGTCTGTGTTTGTGCATCTGTGTGTCATTTTGTGTGTTTTTATGCCAGTGTGTGCATCTTTATCATGGTGTGTGCATGTATCAATGTTTGTGTGTGTCAGGGTGCGAGTGTGTATATGTTGGTATATGCGTGTGTATGTGTGTATCTAAGTGTGTGTATGTATATGTGTATGGGCATACATCCGAGCAGTCATACACCAGCACAACATACAAAACACACTCATGCAATCTAACACAAATATTACATACAAACACACCCCTGCATTCAAACTCCAAAAGGATATATAAACACACCCCTTCGTTCAAACACAAATACTACACACAAATGTACACCCACATTTAAAAGTGAACATAACATTCAAACACACCCCTGCAATCAAATGCAAACATTACATACAAACACACCCCTATATTAAAACACTAAAACTATATACAAGCATCTCTTCAAACACCAACACTGTACATTACACTATAGTGCCAGTAAATGCCGCAGTACTGTACAGATATACAACCTAGAAATTTTGACTTGGGGTGCCTTGGAAAAATATTGAAATATTAAGGGTGCCATGAACCTAAAATGTTTGGAATCCACTGGGTTAAACAATGTAAAGAATTCACTAAATAATGAACGGCAGCCAAGTAGTGTCAAGTTTTCAAACGTCAGCTGTTAAATTAAAGTTTATTTTATGAATCTCAAAATAAATGTGGTTAATTCTAACAGTATATGCATTTACCTTTGTTGTCTGTGACTGAGCATACTTTTGGCAGCCAAACAGCTGAATTTCAACCGAATTCCTTACGTAATTTGATCGAATTTCTCAGACACTGACTAGAGCCGCTCATAATAGTGAGCACCCCACATACCCTAGGTCATCCTTGTGTACCCAAAGCCCTTACCCGTTTACAAATGCACCAAACCTAAACGCCACTTAAACTCTACTTTTACTTTAGAGAGGTTTTTATTTTTAATTTTAGGTTTTAAAAGGGAAATTCAACTAGATCTATTTTAAAAAGAATCTCACAGCAGCAATGAGATCCATCTGAAAATAGATAAAGATACAAAATGTACATTAAATAAATGGATGGGTAGCTGCCTAAATGTGGGATTAATTAAGATAATTAAAACTTTTCAGCGACATTTTAGTCCTTCTTTAACACTGTAGGAAGATATATTGAATTTTGTTTGAATGATCGCCTTATTTTAAATTAAGAAAGTTAAATATTCACCATGTACCCCCTTTTTACGGAGGCTATACACAGAATGCAGACTGACAGATACTGTGTGAAGTCACCGAGAATGGAATATAAGCCAAGTAAGACATGGTTAAAATGTAACTCAGAACGAATCCGCTCCTAATCCGGCTGTAGTCCCACCTGTTATGACTAGAATGCTAACAAGAGAGAACAAAAAAATTGGTAAATCACGCAGACATTATCTGTAAAATGAGAGGAGCGATAAGCACATTTTCTGTTTCTGGGTTCTTCTATGGCTCCAAGCGATAAGGAATTTAACAAACCAAGAAGAAAAATGACAAAAATTGCCAACATCAAGTAATGTCACAGCAACCAGAGGCATTTACTTCCAAGAGCTGTGCGCAAAGGATAGAAAAAAAAAAAAGAAAAAAAATCAATTTCCAAACGACTCTGAAAAGGTATCAGCTGTGCTACCACGCTACAGATGTCCTGTAATGAAGTTGGAACCGTTCTGTCAAAGAGGTTATGCCATAGACAGTGGCTTTAAAATAGGGAACTTTTTCTGACTCCAATATCGAGAGCAAAGCAATTTTGCACTAGTCAATGCATAGAGAGTATGGAGTCTTTTTATCCCCCCTGCAGACAATATAATAAAGGGGGAAGGAAAATTAAATGTGATATTCAAGGAAAAAAATTTTAATATTCCAAATAAATAGAGATGTGAAAACCTAGTGTGACTTCTGTATTCACTCCTATAATGGAGGGGAAAAAGTGGTAATAACACGGAGGCTTAATTGGCCAAACACCAGTGTGTGTCACATTCTGCACAAATATTAATAGGACACTACAAAACATTGCCTACTTACTGAATTTCTCTGTTCCTTTAATGGCACCAATTTGTAAAATCCCCTCCCTTCACACCAACTATGATTTCTCCGGGCAAAACAAGAATTTGTGAATAGAAAAAGACCCGCAGCAGCACACCAATTTATGCCAAAAAGAACAGGTCTTTATTGAATACAATCAATATGTTAAACGATAAATACACAGTACATTGAAATAAAGTGCAAGAAAAAGGCATGTGTACTCACCTCTATTAATGAAGTGCAAATAAGGTTACCTATTAAAAAGTATGAATATACATACTAACCTCCCCAACGTTTCGGCTACTGCCTTTGTCTGTGGACTGAACGTTTTAGATACGTGTCATTAAACGTCAGTATTCGAGTTATACACTTTGATTATTGGAAGCTAAACACCAACATCAGGACATCAGGAGTCAGATGTGGGAATTGTGATAATTGTTAGTGTGTTCAATTATTGCAGTTTCGTTGTACTAATCAGTACTGTACGTTATGACATCACCTGCACTAGCGTGCTGACGTCATTGATTCGGAAAAAGGGAATGGAGTATTTTAATCTTTGGTAACACCCTTTAGTTTTATCGCCATTAGAACACAATATTGGTTGTTAGTGGGAGGGCACTTAATCATTCACTCAGGTATATTAAGCACTTGGGGCCATAGTAAATAGCGATCCCCTAGACAAAAGCAGTAGCCGAAACGTTGAGGAGGCCTAATCTCCAGCCATAGGTCAGTATGTATAGTCATACTTTTTATGGGTAAACTTGATCGCACTTCATTAATAGAGATGAATACACCTTAATTTTTCTTGCATGTAACTGCACTTTGTACTGTGTATTTATTGTTTAACACATTTTTATTGACTGAATTCACTAGTATTGTATACTGTTATTTTTGACATAAATTAGTGGACTGTGGGTCTTATTCTATTCCTGCATATGGTCTTGATGTGCTAACAAGACTTTTTTCCACCTTAACCCCTTAAGGATGAAACTTCTGGAATAAAAGGGAATCATGACATGTCACACATGTCATGTGTCCTCAAGGGGTTAAGCACCCTAGTCTTTATTAGTGCATGACATGGGGGTCACCTAACAAAGTAGAGCGCTCACCATGATTTTGTATGTATGAAACAAGAATTTGTGACAGGACTTCCTCTGGCAAAACTTTGCAATAAAAATCTTTATGCACAGAGCAAAGAAAAAAAAACATGAATTAAGGCAGCTACTGATATAGCAGTAAAACATTGATAGGAATGGGATATATTATATTTTGCAAGAGTTTCATTGATGTTTTTATATAGAAAACATGCTGCAGGGTGCTATTAAAAGGGTGTATGGTGCATGCTCAATGCCACCATGGTAAAAAAGATTAGAACATTAGCATTGGCATGGAGAGGGATCACTGTAGAAGCTGCAAATCCTCTGGATATGCAGCAAAACATTGGGACTTCAAAGTTTGCCTGCCAGAGGACAGCCTCTCTATCAGAGTTGTATTTTCACTCTATGACACAATGTTCTGGGTCAGCAGATACGTAGAATAGACATAAAAAGACACTACTCTATAACGCAAACTATTAAAAGATGGAGGAGGGCGAGAGAAACGTAAACATAAAATAGCACTTGTAAATAAAAGTACACTTAAGAAAAGCTTTGGAAAGTGACAGAACTATAGTGTGAATAGTCAAAGATGCTAAGTGACATTGAAGAAAATTCTGCACGTCAGCAATGGCCTCAGTTTGGCTGTGACCCAAAATGTGATTTTCATATTGACCTCTCAACACTTCAACCTTTAGTAAATAACTGTATGTGCTTTTGAATGTGCACGAAAGGCACTCGATCATTTTTTAAAGTAATATATCAACAAGAACAATAATTTATACAGCAACTAAATTATTAAAGATTAAAAGCCAAATTTAATTGGATCATTAATTATTCAGCAAGATTATCCCCTAAAGGTGACTATTCTCTAATCCAATTTTAAACAAAATGAATGAGTCATATTTTTTTTTCTCTCGCTGATACTTTGTAACTTTGAAACCAAAGATAATATTACTTTAGCACTTAGTTCTCTTTTAAAGTGATTTTTTATTTTTTAGAAGTTCTATCACTGCTCGGGAAAGTATTAGACTGAACAAAACATTGAAATTCAACCATAACTTGTGTTAACCATTGTTTCATATTTGATTAAATACATATTAGAGCATGGGTCGTCAACCTGGTCCCTACCGCCCACTAGTGGGCGTTTTAGGATTCCAGGTGGGCGGTAGGGATTTCTGAGGCTAAATCCTCTTTTTAAGAGGATTTCTCCTTTTGGGCGGGCGCGAGCGGCTCTGCATGCGCAAGTCTTCAGTGACCGGCAGGAGGAAGCGCTCCCTCCTGCCAGGCCACCTTCTGGACCCCCGGCATGGCAGAGTTCTAATCAGTCGCGGCGAGGGAGCTCTAACCTCTCTGCTCTGCTCCCTCGCATGATGTTTGCTGATGCCGCGGGAGCCGGAATATGACGTCATATTCCAGCTCGCGGCATCAGTAGACAGCCCACGAGGGAGCAGAGCAGAGAGGTTAGAGCTCCCTCGCTGCGTCTGATTAGCCGCCCGCCTAAGTGAAGCCCCACTCGACCCCAGGGACAGATCCACACCAGCTCTCCAGGTAGGGAGGCTGGGTGGATATTTAATATTAATAATTTGTGTGTATATGTGTTTGTCTCTAAGTGTATGTGTGTGTGTGTCTGTAAGTGTGTGTGTGTGTGTGTTTGTGTCTGTAAGTGTATGTGTGTGTGTCTGTAAGTGTATGTGTGAGTGTCTGTAAGTGCATGAGTGAGTATGTGTATATTTGTGTGTATGTGTTTCTATGTGAGTGTGTCTGTAAGTGTATGTGTGAGTGTTTGTCTGTGAGTGTGTGTGTCTGTAAATGTATGTGTGAGTGTGTGTGTGTGTGTGTGTATGTGTTTGTCTGTGAGCAGAGTACTTGTAGAATAGAAGAAAGAAGGTGCAGAGTACTTGTAGAATAGGAGAAAGAAGGTGCAGAGTACTTGTAGAATAGGAGAAAGAAGGAGTAGAGTACTTCTAGTATAGGGGAAAGAAGGAGTAGAGTACTTGTAAAAAAGGAGAAGGAAAGAAAAGGAAAAGGAGAGAATTGTTGTTGACTAATAATAATAATAATAAGTGGGCTACCTAGCTCAGCCTTCCTACTGGGCATTGCTATAAGTAAGGTTAAAAAATAGAAAAAAGGGGAAAAAGGTGGGAAGGGGAATTGAGGAGGGAGAGGAGGGGAGCTGACGCACAGATGAGAAATCATTTTATGAGCAAACAAAGAAGTCTTCTGATTATCACTGAAAGAGGAGACCTTCGTTTGTTCCTTACGAAAATCGAACCAGATATCAAATATTTAGTCTCGCAGCATCAGCCTCAAGTATCTCATTAATCACTAGTAAAGGTAATTTCAATTTACTTTATTGCTTCCTCATTAAAAACTTTATAAAGTTAAAAACATTATAAACATGCATAAAGTAGAAATAAAAAGATAAATGTACGTACATTTATTTATTTTTTTTTTAAAACACCCTCCTTTCTAAAAAATATTCCGCGCTTGAGCGAAAACTGGTGGGCGGTAAGGAAATTTTTCCATCAAGAAAGATGCATTAGTGGGCGGTAAGTGGAAAAGGGTTGACTACCACTGTATTAGAGATTTAGTAAGTGAAATCGCAATCAAGCCACGCACAGCCAGGGCACAAAATGCAAACGAGGAAGACAATGGGAATATACTGTGTCTTCTCTTACAATTATATAGTTCAATGGCAAAAATCACAAAGCAACGCTGGCTTTGACTGTGGGGGACTCAAATAATTAAAAATGTATAAACCAGTATTAAGATCCACTCCTTCCTCGATCTGAGGAGTCTTTTAATAGCTAGAACTACTGCTTGTCAACTGATCAAGCACTGGGCATGGCCAAACAGCAGGCAGAGAATTGGCTAAATTTAAGAATATAAAATAATGATAATAAAAAATAAAAAATATTTGTCAAACTAACTATTGAGGAATGACTTCAGCAAGTTTGATTTTCATTTCATCAGAATTCTCACAAATAAGAATACTAGGAACATGACTTAAACAGAAAGCAGGCATTTGGCTATGTTTAGTTCTAAAGAAGGAAACTATAACTGCATGCCTGCGTCTCCTCTCCTCCGCCGCGATCTCATTGCAGAAATCTGCCCGCGCTCCTCATCTGCTATCCGATCCAACCGCGCGCCTCCTCTCCACATCACTGATTAGCCCTGCTTGAGGACACTACCCCTAGCATGACAGACCTTCTCAGTGATGCAGACATTATGGCTTCATGTGAATGGAGGGATATATGTGGTCACTTCATTCCTATACTCTCTAGCCGGCACTAGCAGCCCTGGCTAGGGAGTTTCCATAGCAACGTAGCATTCCATAGCTAGAGCAACGTATAGAAGAAATTAATGCTTTTTTTTTTTTGAAGAGCTAAAGAATATTTAGGCACTACAGTGGCTTTTTAAAGTTGTTCTGTAATATAGAGGTTATTTACTCACTCAAGAGAAGAAAGACTTTCTTCTTTACTACTTTTCTTTTACATATTAAACATATTTTATTCAAACTACCTATACACCTCAATTTTATATTTATTGAGTTTTCTATTTCGCACACTAGGGCTTCTTTACCTGCCAGTAATCATTTTATACATGCACACAGACACGAATAGTTTTATAAATGAATATTTTAAGCAGAACAACACACATTTCATTTTTTATTCTGCAGTACATTTGTCTATTATTAATCATACATGAATCCCACCGTGAATGAGGACATTGGGACAGACATCGCGAGGTGTGAACATGTAATATGTTTAAAAAGAAATATTCAATGTAGAGTGGAAACTTCAGATAGAGCAGAAATGTCCCAGTTGATCTGCCTCATTAAAATGTCCTACTTGCCAATTATTAAAATCCCAGACCAGCCGTATTTAGCGGCTTTCAAGCAGTGTCCATGGTCGGACCCTGCATACATACATTATTCATCCTATTTAGTAGTGTAATGTGAAAATCAATTGCAATCTTAGCCGACATGCTTGGCTGGGTCCTGAAACAGAATTTCAAACAATCTGCTTTGTTACTCCTCTAAAACCCACAAATGCAAGAAATTAGAGGTGACCGAGAATCATGATGTTCAGTTTCAACTGAGAGAATAAAGAGCAGCAAAAACAGACATCATCCTGTAAACGTCCTTACAAATATTAAATATGAAAACACTAGTGTTAAAGGACCACTCTAGGCAACCAGACCACTTCAGCTTAATGAAGTGGTCTGGGTGCCAGGTCCTTCTAGGGTTAACCCATTTTTTTTATAAACATAGCAGTTTCAGAGAAACTGCTATGTTTATCAATGGGTTAAGCCTTCCCCCTAATCCTCTAGTGGCTGTCTTATTGACAGCCACTAGAGGCGCTTGCGTGCTTCTCGCTGTGATTTTCACAGTGAGAGCACGCAAGCGTCCATAGGAAAGCATTGTAAATGCTTTCCTATGCGACGGGCTGAATGCGCGCGCAGCTCTTGCCGCGCGTGCGCATTCAGCCCAGGAGGAGGATCGGAGGAGGAGAGAAGGAGGAGAGCTCCCCGCCCAGCGCTGGAAAAAGGTAAGTTTTAACCCCTTTCCACTTTCCAGAGCCGGGCGGGAGGGGGTCCCTGAGGGTGGGGGCACCCTCAGGGCACTATAGTGCCAGGAAAACGAGTATGTTTTCCTGGCACTATAGTGGTCCTTTAAGGATGTATTAAAGGACCACTATAGGCACCCAGTCCACTTCAGCTTAATTAAGTGGTCTGGGTGCCAGGTCCCTCTAGGATTAACCCTTTTTTTTTTTTTATAAACATATCAGTTTCAGAGAAACTGCTATGTTTATAATACGGTTAATCCAGCTTCTAAAGCCTCTAGTGGCTGTCTCATTGACAGCCGCTAGAGGCGTTTGCGTGCTTGTCACTGTGAAAATCACAGTGAGAAGACGCCAACGTCCGTAGGAAAGCATTATGAATGCTTTCCAATGAAACAGGCTGAATGCGCGCGCAGCACCTGCCACGCATGCGCATTCAGCCAAAAAGGAGGATCGGAGGCGGAGAGGAGGCGGAGAGCTCCTCGCCCGGCGCTGGAATAAAAGGTAAATTTAACCCCTTTCCTCGCCATCCAGCCCGGCGGTAGGGGGTCCCTGAGGGTGGCACTATAGTGCCAGGAAAAAAAAGAGTTTTCCTGGCACTATAGTGGTCCTTTAAACAGATACATTTACTACACTGGCACATAAAAAGCATTAAAAAAAATCAAACAACACACCAACCTAGGTTATTAAAATCAAATGATGGTCATGTCATGGTTCCTGAGTATAGTATGGGTAATGATTTTGATTTGATGTTTTACAGAGAAGACTGATCATGAAAACAAGGGTGGTAAGGCTTTAATATGGGATAGTTGGGTAAACTCAGAATGATAGACGAAGGCCTCGATTTAATATTGTTGGATAAGCTTTCCAAATGATTTAATATTTTTGGTTAAACTTTTAAAATAATTTTTTAAAAATATTAAAATAGTAAAACATTTATATCGCGCACATGCGTGCGTGCGTGCGTGCGTGTGTGTGTCAGTCAAATATAACTTTTTTTTTTTTTAATATTACACAATTATAATTATCATAATATTAAAATATTTTAAGAGTTTATCCAAAAATATGAAATAATCTGGAAAACATATCCAACAATATTCAATTGAAACCTAACTAAAGAGTACTTCATATTATATTAGTAAATATTAATTTGGCTTAAAGTGTTTATGCTCATTTGATTTGTTTTTGGCCTGATATTTTTTGTCTTTGCTCAATTCTATTTAGTTAAAAAAAAAAAAAAATTAATAAAGTTTTCCAGCTGTTTCACACACTGTTCCTATACCAGCCTCTGTCTCTCAGTACTTAGTCCCTGAGTGAAATGGAAACAGAGCTTCTGGGAGACAGAGGCTGCAGATTTGAGGAAGATGGCAGCCAAAGGCACACATGGCGAATATTACTACTACATATATGGTCGCCTGGCCGTTTTTTGGCTTTTTTTTTACTTTGTATTAAAGGACCACTATAGTACCAGGAAAACATACAGGCTGGATGGCGAGGAAAGGGTTAAATCTTACCTTTTTTCCAGCGCCGGTCGGGGAGATCTCCTCCTCCTCTTCGGCTGAATGCGCATGCACGGCAGGAGCCACGCCCTCATTCTGCCAGTCTCATAGGAAAGCATTCATAATGCTTTCCTATGGACGCTGGCGTCTTCTCACTGTGATTTTCACAGTGAGAAGCACGCAAACGCCTCTAGCGGCTGTCAAAGAGACAGCCACTAGAGGCTTTAGAGGCTGGATTAACCCATTTATAAACATAGCAGTTTCTATGAAACTGCTATGTTTATAAAAAAAATGGGTTAATCCTAGAGGGACCTGGCACCCAGACCACTTCATTAAGCTGAAGTGGTCTGGGTGCCTAGAGTGGTCCTTTAAGCTTTGTTTCACAGCAGGGGTCTAATTTATGGATCTGGAAGGGAATGGAGCGGTTGTAATATTATACAAATGTAGTTTTATTCCTCCATCTGGAAACACAGCTTATTAAAGTTAACTTTTTCTGGCTCTGCTTGTTAATCTTGGTTACATTTATGGCCTGCCGTTATTATTGGGCTTGAACCATTCGCTTCCACGGCAGTGGTGAAATATGCCGCAACTATTTTATGACAGTCACTGGAAAGGAAAGGAAAATGTGCTATTTTGTTTGATACGGATGTTGAAGTTGATGTTATGAAGAAGCAGAATGTAGCCTTTGATCTCTGGCAGGGATTCCGTTTACAGAAGCGGTTTGTGAACAGGGATACGTGGCTTTCATTGCTCCAGACCTTTGATAGATATACTAAGTAAGTAGACTTCAAAAAACAAAATTAAGATCAGGCAGAAGTAGACAGGACAAGACATATCAAAAGCCTCTAGGATGAGAAATAGGAGTAGATAAAAATATTTCCAAAGTAAGCTGTATGTTCACTTGCTATGATGTTTGCCAAAAGGGACAACAAAGCATTTTTTACCCACTGAACAACCGTGCCAGTAAAAATAAACAAATAAATAAAAAAACAAAATATGTCGGATGTCACGCTCGGAAATCTGTTGAGGAATAGAGGTCTCACCTTTGCGCTTGATTTCATGCTGGAGACTTGATGTTGGTACTTCGCCTGACGTGCATCTTCCAGCTGGGCACGAAGTTTTGCTGCCAACTCCTTAAAGGGAAAGACAGACTTTTAAAAACCAAAGGGTGAAAGGAAAATATAGATGTTTCACTTTTTGTCTTTATGTCTCTTTCTAGCATCTCCTTAACTCATTGTGCCTCTGGAATGGCAACAATAGGTTTAAAGATTATACTGTCAAGCGTACACATGCTGGCACATGTACTTCTACTCTGATCCCCATAATACACAGGCAGTCAGGTAATTTTACCACATGACAGGAGGCTTCATATTTTGCATTAACTTTCTTTAATAACTCCATATCAGCAAAAAAAAAAAAAAAAAAAAAGGTGAAACAAAGAATCAATCAGAACACAGTCAGAGTGTATATAAGGGAAAGCATATCTGCATTACTTCCTCTTTCTTTGCTGCTACATCACAAGTCAGGTCAGAGTACTTGTTCTAAAACTGTACTTATTGTATGTGATTACAATTTTCCTTTCCTCTGGGGGTGACAGGGGCCTATCCTTTATCTCCACCTCTCTAGGGGGGCTGTTTTTATATGATTGGGGCTCTGTCCCTGCTCTCCCAAGGCCCTCTCTTCCCTGAAGCAGCTTATTCCCCCGGGCTTTTTACACCATGCGAGACCCGCGGCAGCCATCTTGCTGGGGGTGTTAGTCGTGGATTTTACTCCCATCACGAAGAGGCTCACTGTGTTTTTGAGTTTTCCAGTCCAGCTGTGCAGTGCATATGGTCAGGGACCTGGTCAGGTTGGTGTAATACCCCTGGAGAGTGGGACTGCCAGTCAGGTGCACCCTATTATTCTGGCAAGGGGTGAGTCCCCATTTGCTGTTGAACAGAATCTGTATTTACAGTTCAGATTTTCTTGGGTGAGCCCATTTGATCATAACAAGAGTCTGCTTATTACCACACGCCATTAGGCTGTGAGTGAAGGCCCACAGCCTGTTTACGTCTCTCCCGACCAGTCCCTATACCTCTCAAACCTGTGCCTGTTAGAAGTAGTATTTGTACCCATTTAAGCCTATCATGGAAGACACCCAGAACCCCATGGATCTCCAGGCTATGATTAACGTGGCGGTGGCCGCCTCTCTGGAAAAAGTTATGTCCAAAGTATTCCCAACAGCCTCTGACCCTGTCAAGCCAGCCCCAAAACGCTCCCAAATCAGAGTCGACTCAGATGAGTTGGATGACTCCTCCAGAGAGCGAGCACACCCGGCAAAATGCCATTGGAAGGGCGAGGGATCCAGGAAGGTCCCCGGTAAGGGTAAAACACCCCTCAAGCGCAGTAAGGGCCCAACAATGACCGCCCCTTCTCCTATTCCAGATGATTTCTCGGACATGGAAAGAGAAGTGCCCCACTCCCTCTCCGTTGTGGACGAGTGGTGGGCAGAGGTCTCAGACTCCGACGCCGGCGATTGGTGCTCCAACACCTACGTCGGGGAGACATTTCTGGGTGAGACATCCACCGGAAGGACCAGGAGGTTTTCCTGGACACTACGGGGCAGCGGATGTTCGACCCCAGGTATATCAGGCATCCCTGCTCAGGGGAGTGGACTCCATCAGAACACCTCCTTAAGTTTATGCACTTTTGGAGTCGGAAGCACCTAGACAAAAGCGTCCACAAGAGGATGAGGGCCGAATGCCCCAGACCATCGTTGCCTGATAAAGTGGCATTTATGCCTGAGTTTGACCAGCTCATGCTGTCATTTATGACACGTGGAGGTCCAAAAAAAAAAAAAAAAATTGTTCCTTTTGTAGCAGCACAAGGTGAGTTACTTCATTAATCAATTGATGCAGCTTGAGGAACCTACTCTGTCAGTGCAGCAGAAATGCTTCTGATAGATGTCAGGAAGACAGCCACCAAAGGTGGACTTAACCATGAAATGTTAACATTACAAAACAACAGAACCACTGCACTCAGACCACGTCATTGAGATGAAATCGTTTGAATTACTTTAGTGTCCCTTTAAGCACAGGTGCTCTCGGTGGAATTCATATTCCAGAATTACTTGAATAACATACGTAAAAATGTCTTAGCAGTGAACATTTTCACTTTTTTCCCACCATCACACGCACAGCATTTCCAGATTTCAACACAATCTGGTGACTACATCATGCCACAGAAAGTTTACCATTCGTGCATACAAACGTAAATCAAATCACGTGATCTATTTGAAGTGAGCAGCCAAGTGCAAGATTCAATCAAACAGTTAAATAACTTTAATTGGACAGAACGTTCCATGTATCTCATGTGTAATCAATAAACTTTCATTTAAAGTGCCAACATTTTTTACAGTATACTTTGGTTTTGTTTTTATATATGCATCTAATACATTTCAGTATATTCAAATAAAATAGCAAATCGGACTAATATCTACCTGGCGTGATACGTTCCAGTTAATATATAGCAAACATTCCAACCATACAAACCATGTTTATCACCAACAATGTGCTTAGCTACAACTGGGTTTTATTTAACATACATAATTGCTTAAATAAGTCAACATATATATTTAAAATATTGTTGTAAGCAATTAAATAATCCAATAAAAAAGATTAAGTAATTATCTCATCATTTCCCTTTAAAATATTATACAAATTATGGACAAATTGTTACAAAACATATCAGAGCATATTGTACGTACCATATTTCCCAATAGTTCAGCCTTCACAATTTTGGCTCCCAATTTGTTCATTTCTTCTTCACTGAGAATCTGGATGGGAGGTTTAGTATCTGGGCTGAGGAACAGAGTAAAGTCAAAACAGATTAAATCAACTTGTTCCCACTGGCTATGTTCATATCATATGAATATCATAGGAATATGTTAATAGTTCCAATAAAAAAGGAGGTGGTGAAAGAGGTGGTTTTTATTCAGTCATGACAGAGAGGCAACATTTCGACACACTAGGTGTCTTTCTCAAGCCGTCAAGTTAATAATTCCGTTATATTTGACTCAAAATATCGGTCTTACAATTTTGTGTGATTCCCAGACTCCCTGTTCTCTACCATACTTGCAGTTGAGGAATACAATACAGATAGAAATACAAACACTTGTTGGGTCTTAAGTTTGGCTGCCAGGCTGGTAAAATTCAGGGTTGTACTCACTAAAGAGCGAATTGTCAGGAAATCAAAGTGTATCTAAAATTTTAGGTCAAAATACCCGATTTGGAAATCCTAGCTCATAATACAAGAAATAGGAAGAACCTAATGATGGCATCCTCTGGTAGCCAAGGACATGTATATCCTTGAGCTGGGCTGAGATTTCAACTACATGTTTGACAGTGTTGCATCACTTTGTATACTATAGATAGGGTAAAATTTAAGTTTATTAGCCAAGTTTATCTGGCTAGCCTAGCTTAGCTAGTCAACAAATGTGATGCAAAGGATACGGTTCCAATAGCCGTCCAAAGAGAAATACCAGGCAACAATAAATTGAATTCCTGGGCCATAGATGATAGTCTAAGAAAAGGGAGGTCTTTGGAAAACAATAGGCTTTTAGACTCCTTACAATACAGAGCAAAACCTAGGTCAGAGGGAGAGTCAAGACTCAACTTCAACCTTCTACATTACTTGCACTAAGTTATGCTATACCTGATATCTTCTACCCTACTTATTACTGAATCAGTTAACCCTATTTTGCTGCAGTGTTAAATGAATTCTGCCGCTTTGTGCTACAATGTGCTACAATGTAATTGCATGACCCACCATTGTGACATGCTAAAAGAACTAAACTGTCTGTCGCTGGAATCCAGACGCACCCTTCATCTTTCCAGCCTTGTGTTTAAGAGCTTTTCTGTGAAGCTCCCACCCTTCCCCAGCTGTTCCCACTTCCTATAAATAAAATCCTGATACTGGATCGGTGGTTAGTCTACCTCAATACAAAAAGAAAGCGCCTCGATCCTCATTTTCCTACAGAGCACTGCCATAATGGAACGACCTCCCGCACACTTTCAAATCTTCCCCAGCCTAAAATCCTTTAAGAGATCCCTCATTACATATCTCAAAACAGAATGCATCTGTCATGGTTGATTATATATTTCTTACCTGCTCTATGTTAATTTTTGTATATATTGTGTATTAATATTGTTTTTGTATTTCATTGTTTTCCTGGAACTAGAGCTCCCTATAGTGCCCTCTTGGCCCCTATCCCTATCATGGTGCAGAAGGAGGTTAAAAACCCCTTTTGTTACTTACCTTGTTCCAGTCCAGATGTCCCTCGGCCCTGGCTCAGAGTCTATCTTCGCTCCTCCAATGGCCGCGCTCACATTAGAACAGCCCCATAGGAAAGCATTAAGCAAAGATTTCCTACTGGGTTTCGGGTAACACTTGATTTATTTATGTCCAGCTTCAGTTAGGCGATCACAAGTTGTCTAACGACTCGGAAATCCCTCTAGTGATTGTCTGGTAGCTGGTGAATAAAATGAGTAATCTCTCGTGGGTTGAGGCACTATCCTCCAACAGTCAAAGAGCTGAGTTTGGTCTAGAAGGGATACAAACTATTTACGTGTAGGGGCAGAGTAAGTGAGGACGTAGAGGATGAATCAATAGACTTATCCAAAGTAACATTACAGTCTCCCCCAAGTATAAGGATACCTTAAGCAAACATATATAATTTACGTATAGCAGTAGGTATTCACAGTTATGTAAAGTAAGAGAAGAATCTGTGCACAAATGTGTTTCCTGGATATAAATTACTTGCGCCCTCAGGTATTGGAGCAGCTATGGAGCGCTTCTCGTGGGTTTTCAAAACCTTCACATTAAAGATTACCCCTCGGAGATTGGGCATGGTCAAGCCATGGTAAGAACAAATATATGGTGGCATACAAGCAAATAGTGAATGAGCAAAAAATTTAAAGAACCCAAAAACTATGTACAGAAACAACATACAACATGTGGTTATTATCAAATGTATAATGATTAATGTTTAAAGAATGGTCAGTGTTGATCCTAACATGGGTAGCAACCCACTTCGGGTCTTAAACAATTACACTGCATTAGACATGGGGAGGGAGGAGGAATGTAAGAGAGGAAGGTGAATAATTAAGTGCTTCTTATCCTGTGTCAAAACAGGTCATGCATCCCATGAATAAGTGGAGAAAAAAGAAAGGGCAAATAAACATGTGAAAAAGTGTAAATATGGATATGATTAGGGACTCAAAGTATTTACAGTGGCTAGTATGACAGTTATAAAGAATCAACAAAATAAGTATTCAGCATCAGTGCATATGGGAGAATTTTTTGGTCAATGGCCTTCGGCCCTCAACACAACCTAGACATGGCCTGCACAAACTGTGGCCCCCCCAGATGTTTTGAACTACAACTCCCATGATCTATCAGTCATGACTCCCTGGAGATCTGTTTTATATTCAAAAAAACATGGGGCAGATTTGGTGTCCACTCGCCTCTTTTTTTGGTAGTTGTTGCCAATTTTGTCTCTGGGGTAGCGGAGTTGTGGGAGCATTGAAGGATATTAGATACTTATCCATGCTGGGAGTTTCTGGTAGTTGTGGAGTTTTAACATTGTAAAATATGGCGATTGAATTATCCTTGCCTTTGTGGTTGACAAATAAAGTGAATAGGAAGCCTTATCCATATTGGATGTTAAGGTTCCGAAGGTGTTCTGTGATGGTTTTAAAGTCCGTCTTGTCTGCAAAGTGTGCCAAAATAAATTCGGAAACACTTGCAGTGTCCAGTAAACAGTGTCAAATCTCTTTTTTTAATAGATTAATAATGTAGCCTGCAAATGGCATTCCTAGGGGCATCTTTAATATATACATTTAGGTATAAAAGACACCTTGGGTGTCCGTGGGTCTCCCCATAATCAGGTTAAACAGTTATTGCAGAACCGTATGCAAGACTATTCTCAATCCATCCACCTCAGGTAATCCTCTTAGTTTAAGTTGTTACATCATCAACAAAAGACCTGTGGTTATTACTGAGCATAGTAGCTTGGTCCTCTAATGTGTTGGTAAGTTCTTGTACCAATAGGTCTCTCTATCATCTTAGCGTAAGTTCTTGTACCAATAGGTTTCTATTATCTTAGCGTTCACCCACACGGTCCCCAATATAGCAGATATCCACTCAAATGCCCTCCAACTTTTGTTGGAATGTGGCCTTCAATTTCCCCAGAATGTCTTCTGGGTCTCCCTTGGAGGGGAGATTCTTGAGTATTTGTCATAACTCTGCGTCCTTCGATGACAAGTAGCCATCTGAAGGCGTCGGGTTTGGAAACATGGACCCCTCATGGTAAGTGTGGGCGCTGTGATGTGTAATCGAATACATCAGAGCATTCAGCCAAATCTCCGAAATATTTTGTAAGAACTCTGAATTTTTCAACTGGGTTTCTTCCAGATCAAATCTGTGATTTGTTAAACGTCCATTGGTTTATCATCTGGGTGGTTTTGCTCTCTTAATAGCAGGATTTCGTCCTGTTCAACATAGAGCTCTTCTAGTTAGTTTCCATACAGCTCGGTGGATGGCCATAACCCCCCCCTCCCCCTGTTTCATATTAATCGTTATCGCACCGCCAATTTATATTTGTAGTGTGTATAACGTTGTCTATGCGTATTGTTAAAGGGGCATACATTGGTGTAAGAGCTGCTAAATTTTATTTCACTGAAAGCCAACATATACACTTTTTTTGTAACATTTTATGTTCCATTTACAAACAAGAAAATGGTAAGAGTTATACAACGCAAATATAAAAGTTGTTCCATGTACCCATTCAGAGAGGATCATTATCCGGCCGCAGCAATGTATAAAGAAGCATTTGGCTATAATATAAGAACATTTTAACTGTACCCACTTGGCGCACATGGAGAAGAAAAGATAAAAACTAATAGATTTGCCCAGCTGAGCTGCAGGAAACTGAATTTGAGAAACCGCTCCATTTTGTAGGAAAAAATAAAAAAATATATTTTCTCCCTGTTGGTTTCTTGAATTTCAGCTTGAAAAACTGTGAGAAGCAGCAGGTGGCTATCAATTAAGAAAGCTTTCAGCTTTATCCAGCCTGTATATTGTTTTCTTAACCTATTCAGAACATGGCAGGGGTTTTTAAACTAGACTTTCTCGTGCCCCGGTGCTAGGCCAGGCACTGCTACTAGAAGTACTTATTATTATTATTCAGCAACAATAAGTAACATTTTACCAGGTAAATGGTTGTGGGTCTATAAGACTTGAATGATGCAGAGATATACGGTATTCTGAATATACTATTACTGACATACATATACTTAGCGCTATATATTACATTTCATTTTGTGAGGCCTGTAGACATAATGATAGTAACTAAACCTTGTCAAGGCAAAGAAAGGGGAAAAAACAGTTGTGTGAAAAAGGTCCTGTTCAGCACGCAAAATTATTTTTAATTTTTATAAATTTATACATAATATAATAAGTATGCACACATACATAAATGCACAGACATATAGGGGACTCCGAATAAACACACTATTGCCTGGCCACTCCAGATTTCGGGATCCTGTCCCACCATCCCACTTCAGTACCTTGGTGTATCTGGGGACACCACGGCACTGTCCCTAAGCAGCACTCACTAGATGCTCTCTTGCTGTGCAGCAAGCACTAGGACCATGCAGGAACCATTTCAGCAAAGCTGCATTGTCCTGAAGGCTGGGGTCTGGTTTTCTGTCAAAATGACATACCAGGCAGATTTCCATAACCCATGTGACATCTGGTGACGGAGATCAGTTGCCCTCAGTGCTGCACATAGTTGCTAGTACTCCGGAGGGGAATGGGAACCTGACGGAGGCTGTGAGCATGCGTGAGTTTCCCAATGATGCGTCTTCAGCTGGATTGGGAACTCCTCCTCAGCAAGGTCCTGGAAGGTAAGTAAAGCTAGTTTTACACTTACATTACAGTTAGTGCATTCATGAAGCACAGGAACACAGGACATTTAGGGTTAATATCCATGTTAAAATTTGGGTGCAGCACTGTGAACAGCTGGTCCCCGTCACCGGATGTCACACGGAGTATGTAAATCTGACAGGGTATGGAGTTCTGACAGAACACCAGCCAAACAGCTTTTCAGTGAGCGGGTTCAAATGTTCCCGGCCAGGCCAGTCCCTTATATTCTTTGCATTGAATGTGAGCATCATCACTGGTAATGCCCTCTATGGGCCATGCGCACTAATCCTAATTTTTTGGGTGGTATGCGTATTTACCAGGACTTGTGGAAGAGATTTTATTAATCAACTAAAATGTTGATGTGTGAACAGGAACAGCTTACCTACAGGCATTTACTATTTTTAATTAACTGGTTTATCTTTGATAAAGTTCAGAGTCCGACACAACTTAAAAGTCTACTCTATATCTAGTGAGTGACTTTTCCATTTCACTCTATCTCTACTACACATTATTGTTTCACAAGTTATATTAGACAAAGATCTTGTATCTGGTAACCTTTTCTACTCTGACACGCTTCCTTGTAACCACTAGATTGTAAGCTTTAAAGGACCACTATAGTGCCAGGAAAACAAACTTGTTTTCCTGGCACTATAGGGTCTTTGGGTCCCCCCCACCCTCAGGGTCCCTCTCCCGCCGAGCTGAAGGGGGAGGAAGGGGTTAAATTCTTACCTTTCTCCAGCGCCGTACTCCGGCGGCGCTGGGGACTCTCCTCCCTCTTCCGACGTCATCCGCCGCATGCGCGCATTCAATCAATCAGTCCATAGGAAAGCATTACTCAATGCTTTCCTATGGACGCTGGCGTCTTCTCACTGTGAAAATCACAGTGAGAAGCGCGGAAGCGCCACTAGCGGCTGTCAATGAGACAGCCACTAGAGGCTGGATTAACCCTAAAGTAAACATAGCATTTTCTCTGAAACTGCTATATTTACAGCTGCAGGGTTATCCCTAGATGGACCTGGCACCCAGACCACTTCATTAAGCGGAGGTGGTCTGGGTGCCTATAGTGGTCCTTTAATGTGTTTTCAGTGTTATTTACACATGGAAATATTCTATTTAGAATATGATAGTGCTATACAGATGACATGAATAATAATACCAAGTTAGAAAAATGAGATGGGAATGATTAATCACATACATCTGCAAAATTAAAACCATCAAAATACTATACACTTAACGGAATTTGGCCAGCGGCCACCATGAAAGACAAGGATTTTATATGAAGGATTTGGCAACAACTAACAAAGTCAGTGAAGGGCAAATAAGAGAGATGATTTAAGAATAGAGAATAAACTTCTCAACAATAATAGATCAGCATAAGTAAATGAAAGAAATTACACTAAGATGTAACTACGTGTTTGCCCAACATGTCGCAAGATGCAGGATGATTGTATACCTCCCAACTACAGCTTCCTGTGAATCGGGACATCGGTGGGAGGGAAGTAAATGGGCGGGCCAGTGACGTGATTACATCACTAGCTCCACCCCAAAAGGGTGGGTCTGCAAATGAAGGGGGCGGGTATGCCCAAGTTAATGACAGGTCAATCTGGCATAAACACATGACAGGCAGCATGTCATTTATGCATGCCGGCCCACTGGGGCAGAACACTGTTTCAGTGCTCCCTGCAAGGTCTTAGTGCCCTAATCAAAGCGAGAGCACATCTATTGATGCGCTTGAGCTATGATTGTTGGGGACAGTTCTCTGGTGTCCCAAAAAAGCAGGACACCAGGGAATTAAGGCGGGATGGGGGGGAAAAAGGGCATAGGACCCTAAAATTGTGACTGTCCAGTTGAATTTGGGACAGTTGATAGGCATGTGATTGGAGAGGTGAGGACGCAATAAAAATGCTTCCTTAAAATCTAATTATCAATCAGCTTTAATTGAACTTCTGCTGGCTGTTTTTAAACATTGCCTGTCACAAGTTTAAAGCTCTTCGTTAAAAGGCCAGTTTACACACCATAACCACTACAGCCCATTTTGAATGGTTTGACCCTTACGTGGGTCCACCAGGAGTCTCCATTTCTAAGATATTTAAAGCTGAAGCCTCAATAGAATAACATTTTGCCACACTATTTAAAAGAAAGGAGTTGCCTGCGAACATCAAATTTCATCCAAACATGGCAGAATTGATGTTGTAGAAGAAACCTCTGAATTAGTGATATCAGAATTAGTGGACAGATCAAAAGCACCCATGGAACCCAAGTAAATGACAAGCTGTTTGAACATACCAATGGATTGTGGCTACAGACTTCTGGCACCATAATGACTACAGGGGACTGTAGTGGTTATGGTTCTTAAACTTTCCATTTAAAAGCTTTAATAAGGAATTTAAAATAAACAAATCTTTATGTACATGTTTTAATTACAAAACAGAATCATGAAGACAACCTACAATATTTAGTGATTTATTGTTTGCTAGATCTTTTAAATAGAAAATGTAACTTTAAGGTAAGACTTTAATTACCTTGGCAGTGGCTTGTCTACAGATGAGAGAGAATCTTTTGCACCGATACACTCACTGCCCATTTCTTCTACAGCTCTCATTTCCTTGACATGACTGTCTTCAATTTGGAATTGGTGCTTTTCATCACCAAGTCCTTTGGATGATGTTCTCCGCCAAGATGGGTCAGGTTCATCAGGTTTTAGGAAAGTGATTCTAGAAGAGGTTGGTGGTGCTACAAGAGACCGATGGATTTTTTTGTCATCATCTTCTGAGGGTTTTAAGAACTTGTGTTTTAAAGGATTCCTATCTTTTTTCGTATCAGCATATTCTCCCACGGGGCTATCTGTGTATCGTCCACGTTCCAGTTCACTGCTGGTTTTATCAGATTCTCGTCTTTCCCATTTTGGTTTGTCTGCATGGTGTTCTCTACGTTCTCTGTGAGTATATTTATCATGCTTCTGGGAAGTGGTATGACGATCTTCTTTTCTATAATCATCCGGTCTTACAAATTTTCGGGATTCCGTTTCAGGATACTTTCTCCACCTGTCTCTCCTACTGCCATAGTCTTCAGATGAATTCTGCATTGCAGTTTTTTCAGCAGCATCCAGTTTATTTTGGAAGATCTCCATAGACTGAAAATATAAAATGGAGATCATGAAAGAATCCAGGCAAGTTCTAAGAAGGAATAAATGGATTCAATGTTTTTATTTCCCATTATTAGAGAGACTTGTGTCAGCACAGCAGGGATCTACAGGTTGATGTCAAAGAGTCATTAAAAATGGGATAAAAAAAAAACAAACAAAAAAAAAACATGGGTTGCATAAGGGCTGAAGTCACATACAGGATTATTTACTAAAGTGAGAATTCAAGGTTAAGTCAAGGTGAATTTCAAGATTAAGGTCAGAGTAGCTGAATGCAAACAATAGCTGATTTAAAGAATTTTGCAGTGTGACTATTTTGACCTTAAAATTGAAATTCACTTTGACCACACCCTGAATTCTCACTTTCGTGAATAATCCTGATAGTTGGAATATCCCACCAGGAAAAGTGTAGTATTTTGTGCTCATATTCTTAAAGGACCACTATAGGCACCCAGACCACTTCAGCTTAATGAGACACTTCATTATCTACACTTCAGCTTAATGAAGTGGTCTGGGTGCCTGTTCCAGCTAGGGTTAACCCTTTTTTTTTTTTATATAAACATAGTTTCAGAGAAACTGCTATGTTTATAAATAGGTTAATCCAGCCTCTAGTGGCTGACTCTTGACAGCCGCTAGAGGCGCTTGCGTGTGTAGCGGATGGCACTGGGCTGTCCTGAGAAATTACATGTATTTGAATGCATTCGTGTAAAATAAGTTCTATGTGTTAAATATATTGTATTCGTCTGAATGTTAGGTAGTTTCATTCCCTTAGTTTGTTCGAATGAAACTACCGAACAGTCAAACCTCCCCTGTGTGAAGTGTGCCTGCAATTACCCGTTGCAACATTGTTGCGAACGGGTAATTGACAAGTTGAGTAGCCGTCCTTTGTTCTCGGGGGTGGCCGCCATTCGAGAAACGAACACGTGGCGGCGGCCTTTTTAAAACTCCCGAACATCGGTGTTTTGCCGTCGAGTGTCTGGAACTCAAATCGGACACTCGACTAGGCGAACACCGCTGAAACCTCCACAAGCCCGGTCCGTTCGGTTCCAAACTACCGAACGTCCCCTCGTTCGGTAGATAGAAACAACCGAACGAGGGGATTCAGGCGAACCCTCCCTAATCTCTGTAGCTAGAGGCTTTCGTGTCGTTTATTCCCTGACTCCCTCCATGAATTTTATTCCCTTTATTCCCTCCATGAATTTCCCGAACCCCTGGTCTGATCTGGGTGATTTTTGGATATGTTGTTCACCCAGATCAGGTCTACCAGGGGATGTATAATTTAACGTAAGTTTAGGGTTACATCCAGAAACGGGGGGGAATTGGTGTGCTGGATAAGGGGATTATGATGCAGGCTGAGGGGAGGAGATGTGTGGGAGGTTACCAGAGCAGGATTGGCTACTGTACAAATTAATGAAAATCCCTCCCTTGCATGAGAGCAGGCTTTAAAAGGCCACTGTCTGAATAAATCTTTAGTTCTGCTCATGAAACTGTGTGTCATCCAGTTATTGGGATTGCTGTTGGGATACTGCTGTGTTATTTTGCCTGCTGGATACTTTACCCTATGGATTTATAATTGCTTGTTCCTGAACCTCCCTGGGATCCAAAGTGGAGATAGGCTGTGTAATACCAGCTCTCCGCTACAGCGTGCTTCTCACTGTGAAAATCAGAGTGAGAAGACACAAGCGTCCATAGGAAAGCATTATGAATGCTTTCCTATGAGACTGGCTGAATGCGCACGCAGCTCTTGCCGCGCATGCGCATTCAGCCGAAGAGGAGGAGAGGAGGCGGAGAGCTCCCCGCCCGGCGCTGGAGAAAGAGGTAAGTTTAACCCCTTCCTCTCCATCCAGCCTGGCGGGAGGGGGCCCCTAAGGGTGGAGGCACCCTCAGGGCACTATAGTGCCAGGAAAACGAGTATGTTATCCTGGCACTATAGTGGTCCTTTAACAAACTCATGTGAGGTCACACATTAGCCAGGTGTACTAGTTTGCAGACAATAGGACATGGAGAAAAGGGTAAGAATACACACACAAAAGCATAACTTGCTTTAAAAATAGCAGCATTTCTGGTTCTCACTATAGTGGCAGTTTAGCCCCTACTATGATGAACAGTCCATGTAGAACAAACCCAGTGGTTTGTGGGATGGGGACTTGGTGAATTTTCCAATCTTTTTTTGCATGCTACATGAAAAAGGTTACCCTTTAGCTTGTTGCCCTAAGCAGCTACTAGTTTATCCCTATAGAAAAGCCATCTTTAAAGCAAAACTCCAGACCCATAAAGCACTTTAGCTTGCTGAAAAGCTTAATGTGTGGACAGTGTGTCCTATTTTTTACAATTAACACTTTTATAAATTAACCTGTTACACACCCCTTGGCTTTCAAGCAGACAACAGGTCCTGTTTATTCCTGGTTGTTTTGCTCAGTGAAACTAAACTCAAGAGGCAGCAATTGCCCAGAGCACTTGCTTTGCAAAGACTTCTCATAAAGCTTCATTGGGAAGTCTGTGATTGGACAGCCACAGATAGTCTGGGCTGCTTTAGAAGGTTTGCAAAAACAGCAGACAAGAGAACTGCAGGCTTTGTAAGAAGTTTTTACATATAACCCCAGTGAAAAGATGTATAATTAAAGGCGTGTAAGTTTTCATTTACTACTAAACAGTGATTTGTACTTATTTTGTATTTGGGCAATGGAGTGTTCCTTTAAATAGATCTATGTACTAAGGCAAAGCTCTATCTAAATGACCCAGGTGATTAGGACAGACAGTTTTTGAGTGTATTTTGTTTTTCTTTTCTAAAAATAAAATATATATATATATATATATATACACACACACACACACACACACACACACACACACACACACACATACGAAAAAAAAAACTACAAGGGAATGTGTAAATAAAGAAATACCAGATACTCAATGTGTGGATTTACAAAAACCCATTTATCAGACTAGATCAGAAAGAAATGTGATTATCTACACGTGAAGCACCTTTCTCTAGAATGTTTCTTGATGTAGAGCAAAACAAATTGTACTAATTCACTTTTACCCCATATCTTTCAGCTACAATATCTTCGAAGTTTCTGTTTTGTCGTTCAGCCTGCTCCTTCATTCTTTGATACGATTTCCTTAACCAACTTAAGCCTCCGTCTTCAACATGAACAGCTGGAAAAGTAGAGACAAAAATTACTGTGCTGTCAGATAGAAAAAAAACAAAACAGCATCACATATACAGCAAGTCCATGAAGCATTTATCATAAACTTTATGTATTTCTGTCTTTACAAATAGCCTGCTGTTTATATCATCATATCTCATTTTAAAAACTCCCTATACCTTCCATTCATTTTTTTATCTGTTCAGCAAAACTGATTTATCGGTGACCACACAAACACACCATAGACACAACAATACAATCACAGCAAAATACCTGGATCTGTCTCTGTTGCTTCTGGTTCTCATACAAAAATGGGTTTTCTTTCAAAATCCATTTACAGATCCTACTTGCCCATTTGCAGATTCTCATGGATGACATTATTAAGAAGCCAGTGATGTCTATTTACTAGATATCAGAAAGTTACACTATTCTCGATAACCCACAGAAATAGGCAAGATACAGAGGGCGCTCATCCGTGCTTTAATCATATTCCATCACTCGAACCGGGTACAATCTGTTATCATAACTAATAAATGAATGCAATTTCAAGGTTTTTGCAAAAGGACTATTAAATTATTATAACATGCATATTACTCTCTGAGAAGGCTAGTTACTGAATATGCAAAAGCCCAAAATGTTTTAAATGTTAAAATAATCCTTCTGATTTTTATCATTGCTTTTGAGGTTGTCTTCAAATTCATTTCATTTTAGGACACTTATTTGCAAATATGCAATATTTCACTGCCACCTCTCTGGCCAAGCCTTCCACCCATAATACATTCTTAGAAGGGCAGGTTATGTACCACAACAACTAAATACCATTGGTTTTGTTATGGTGCAAGTAGGTTCAAACTATTTTCTAGTAGTCTGACTTATACCAGGGTTCTCCGAGACATGTACAACCTGAACCCCATGCATTAGCAATATCAATTTCATCCACGTTTTGACCACAGTGATAGGCTGTGCCCAGATAACCTTGCCTGTTGACATCACAAGCATATATCTCCCAACATTTCAAATGGACCAAGAGGGACACTTTAATTTTAGGCCCTGGCCACACATACCCCACTCAAATCCTTGAGAAATGTTAAGTGATTTACTAATAACAATTTAACTTAAATGCAATTTACAACAAAAGCAATGTATCTTATTTACACAGAATGATTTTTGAACGCATTCACTGTAGTTTAAAGACACATTACTGTGAATATTAGTGCTGTCAAGCTCTGTAATACACTCAGGCACACCACTGATTTCAAGATCCTAGAAAATAGGGAGAGACGTATTGAAAAAAGGGACACACACACACACACACACACACAGCTAGCAGCGTATTGTATATATTTACAAATATAGCCTAGTGAGTCTAGTATATACAGTACATACTCCCTCTCTGAACCAATTTTGATATTTCAGAATGTTAAAGGACCACTCTAGGCACCCAGACCACTTCAGCTTAATGAAGTGGTCTGGGTGCCAGGTCCAGCTAGGGTTAGCCCATTTTTTCATAAACATAGCAGTTTCAGAGAAATTGCTATGTTTATGAATGGGTTAAGCCTTCCCCCTAATCCTCTAGTGGCTGTCTCATTGACAGCCACTAGAGGCGCTTGCGTGCTTCTCCCTGTGATTTTCACAGTGAGAGCACGCCAGCGTCCATAGGAAAGCATTATGAATGCTTTCCTATGTGACCGGCTGAATGCGCGCGCAGCTCTTGCCGCGCGTGCGCATTCAGCCACATGGGAGGAGAAGAGGAGGATCGGAGGAGGAGAGCTCTCCGCCCAGCGCTGGGAAAAGGTAAGTTTTTACCCCTTTCCCCCTTCCAGAGCCGGGTGGGAGGGGGTCCCTGAGGGTGGGGGCACCCTCAGGGCACTATAGTGCCAGGAAAACGAGTATGTTTTCCTGGCACTATAGTGGTCCTTTAATTTTGCCAAACAGTAGGTGTCACAATAAAATACCTCCCTGAAAACCATGCAATTCTTCAGACAGTTATTCAAGCTAAACGTACTCGAATTAAAATAATTTTAATCTGCCTGCACTATTATTTTAAAAGGATTTATGAAAACATGTTTTAGGCGACAGTGCCACTTTAAATATGCAAATAGTGCTAACAAACAAATACATAACAGTCAATCCAAGAACGCTTTACACATTGCATTGAAACCCTCAAACTAGTCTGCAGAGCTACTCTTCTCTCCCTCTTCGGGAAATGAGGTACAGGTCGAACTGAGCGACAGATACAACAACACCAGGCTTTTACATGGGAAAAAGACACCGGATCTTTTCTGCAGATAGAATAAATCCCTAGAAGCCGATATGGCAGAGAAATATTGCATTAGAACAAAAGATATCTGGCACATGGTTTGATACAGCAGGTGAAACTGCTTGAATAAATCAGACAGAACTAATTGTCCAATAGTCTGTAATGGCCACACAATAACCACCATGTATGCATTTGTTTGAAATTTAAAGAGGAACTGTCCATTCTCTGGAAAATATTGAATGAAACCTTGCAAATTGCCCCGAATTGTTTGCGTTTAAATTTATATGAAATATTTAGCAAAATGACATGACAATCCAGCTCAGTCAAGGCACAGCCATGGCACTTATTGCTATGAGATGCAGAAACAGAAACATTGTTGCATTTGTCCTCTTTGCCTAGGTTTCATCTATGCTGACTGGCAGGTGCAAAGTAAGAGCTTATATGAATGATTCACAGGGAGCCAAGATGGAAGCCGCCAGGTATAAGATTAAAAGATGGACATTTAAATGTGTTTATCAGAAATATATATTTGCTAAATACATGGAATGAGTAAATCGAATATTAAAAGTCACGGGAAGTGTAAGGTCCCATCTTCCCCTGTTATGGAAGGAAAAAAAATAAAAATCATAACTCCACTGCACCATGCAGAACACTATAATCACTACGCAGAAGTCTGCATATTGTTGTGCTCTGTAATAAAGTTCTCCAGTGACCGAGCTTACATAATATGGACCGCAGCTAGCCTTCTTCACCTCTAAATATTCCTCTTTCTAGACGTGTAAAGCCCTGCAGAATATGTTGGCGCTATATAAATGCCAATAATAATCTAATATTCATTGCGTGATAAATGTTTATCTAGAAACACTTTACTGTGATTATACAGGAGATTCAGGCATAATAGACACACACAGACAGTTCTAGGAGTTCCAAGAGTTGTACATGTCCTAGTCCTACTAAGCCTGGCACTGCATGTAACTGAAGACTATTATAATGCTCAGTCAGCCATCTAACTGGGGAAAGGTAAATCACAAACTGCGGCTGTGCAGCACTTACCCATCCCTATTCTACCGCCTTTTAAGAAAACACAACTACAGCAGGACTCTTTTAATCATATTCACAATTATAAAAGCAAAGCAAATTGCTAAACTCCAGTTCCAATGCTAAGTGTTCTGGAGTAAGACAAGAATGAAATATGTAAGAATCGATCAATTTCCTGTGCCATTTATAAAACGAAATGAAAATAGTCAATATGCATTTAAACTTTGTACAAATCTACACACAACTAAAATAGGAAATTTTTAGGGTAATTCAGAGTACAAGAGTTCATTTATAAAAACGAAAAAAGGGAAAAAGAGCTAAATAATGCTGTAAATGAATGACCCAAGTAGCATAATACATCCATCATGTCCACACTTCCAGTGGCATAATAAATAATAATATGATGGCATTCCAAAGTCCAACAGCCATATTGCTTTCTTCTTTTGCCATTCTTTAACATACCCCACTAGAGATGTTCTGCTAATCGCATGTAAGGAACCTTTCGCTCACAGAGACAAAACAATATCATCCGTGCTAATGGCAATATCACCAATTAAAACACATTAACCCAAAAATAAAGAATATTAAAATAAATACTTACTATAAATTATCTCAAATAAATTACAGCGATCCTGTTTTCTCTTCTCAGTACATTATAGGTGAGCATGCTTTGAAAATTTGCAATGTACCAAGATACCATGATCTAAAACCCAAATCAAAAATCACAAGCGGCTTAAAATATTACATATGTTCTAATTATGATTGTCACAGAAGGACTGCAGTTTGGCATTTGCTAACTGTGACAGCCAATCTGATTTTCTCGATGTAGAACAGTGTTTGTGAATGGTCACTCCCTCCCAATCAGTGGGCGCTTTCAACTAAGATTTTAAAAATTGATCAGATTAAAAGCCAGGTGTGCTGCTGTTTGGGAGAGTAGAAATTGTTTAGCACCATATGAAGACCCTTATCTGTACTAAAAAGTGATTTTACCTTTTTTTACTAAGGCCACATCGCCCTCTTCTGGTGGAAGTCCCTGACCACCGTCCTTCCAGAAAGGGTTTAATTCCCTTGCTTGCAATTTTTCCTGAAACACAGATAATGATGTCAGTAATGTACTATTACAAAGTCAAATGAAAGTCAACACATATTAGTTTTAAATATTCATATATAGTATTCGTTTGTTATCTGCTTTAAAATAACAAACATTATTTTTTTCACATAGACTAACCACTCTTTGAAATGCAGTTTAGAATGCAGACATCCTAAAAAAAAATAAAACAGACTTTTATTTGTTCAAAATAATATATATAAAATAAGGGAGGTCCAGAATTTATTTGTTAAAGGGTCACTAGAAGAACCATAACTTCTCTGCATCCTGCTCCTCGAATCCCTGTCCAAATGGTCTAACTACAGTGATTTGAAAGAATCTCTCCAAGTAGACTGCCCCCACGACTCCCCACCGCCATAAGAGAAATGGTAGTTCCTTCTATGCCATATGCTTTATTGATAATAAAACAAGGATGATCACTTACTGAAAGCATTTGTCCAATGAAATAAAATACCAAGACACGGTCCATTTGAAAGTGACATTTAAAGGGTTAATTCAAGCACCATGACCTCTTCTGTGTTTTGGAGTTTGCCTTACTGAATTTTATGTTTAAGATTCTGATGATTTAAAACTTTGTTAAGCCATTCTTTTAGGACACATTTTATGTCATTATTTATTCTGCATTACTTTATAGAAACCGTCAGAAAATAAATACTAAAACAATTTCTACTATGACGCAAGATTCCAAACTATTGCAATAAGGGGTTAGGGTGAGCAGGAGAATGTGGTTTATTTCTGCTTCAAGTCAATAAATAAGGATATTATGATTGCCGCTCATCTGAATTAATGGAGTAACAAACACCGTATGTGTAGAGATTAGGATGCCTCTTACACAATTATCCGCATGAATATTAAGATCTGAAGCAGAATATTCTTTTCATCTTCGCAGCTCCTTCAATGCCCAGCAAGGGAGATATTTAACTTGTAAAATGTGAGACCACAAAAACTAAATAAAGAAAAAGGAAGATGTATAAAAAGCACAAGGAACTGGATGGTATCAGTTTTTATTAAAGGCTGAATTGAGAGGAACCTTGCTTACAGCAGAAACCTCTTGCGGTCATCAAAAATAAATGCATGGGATGAGATATGCCTTCAATTTGCATTTGCTTATCTAAGGCAATGGGAGAGCAAGAGGAGGGGGGGATAAAAAGAAATTTTCCAGTAAATGAATGATTACTCATACGGGATATGATTAACTAAAATGATACATCTCATCTTACAAAGACTTTGATGACATAGTAAGTGCCCAGCAGGGAGATAATGGGAAGGAAACAAAAAAACAGAGAATACGAGAACTCTGAATGTAAAATGACTTTGAGAACCTCAGTAGCTTGTCCTTCGTTTAGTCCTCATTCTGGCATCATACTGATCCTACCCATAAGGGCAGTCAAGAACTAAAATGCTGGCAAGTTCCCTCTACACGAGAAATACAGCAACCCCAGACGATCATTTCGTCCTTCTTTGGGCCTCGTTAGCGTGATGTAGCGGACACCTCTCTAGGCACAGTGAGCATTTGGCCATTACAAAGAGAACAATTTGCATATCAGACTTATACTACCCATAACGGCAGACCAAAAATTAAATGCTGGCGGGTTCCCTTGGCACAAGAGATAATAGGAAGGTAGAACAGATTTTACAATATTTCTAAGTGATAAGAATACATTGCACTTTTTGGAATACAGGACACACAAACTTCTTATATTTTAGGTGTAACTAACTCAACGGTAATTGGGGAATTCAGAATATGAGACACATAAATGAACAAAGGATAGATCTTTTTACTGCGGACTGCCACATACAGCCTAATTAAACATTTATTTCAGTTACTAGATTCAATTAGTGAAATGTGCTTGAATTGTCACTATCTAAGGCAATAAAATTGAATGTGGTAGTTTGCATGTATATATGTTTCCTGTATCCTAATACAGCCTCTTTATCGGTTTACTCAACATCCTATATGCAAATAATATCAAAAGAGCCAACAATTCCCATTATCCTCTGCTTGCTGGAACGCTGTCCTCTTGCTGCTATATACAAGTTCTAAGCAGCAGTCTGTTAAAACATAGTCCAGGTTTATTGGATATGGCTAACTTGTCACAGCCACATTTCTCACACGGCATACCAGAAAAGGAGAGTGGATTATCATAGCCCATTTTTTTTACTTCTTGTGAGTGCAATCATTAGTCACTTGATGTACAGTAATTTAAAGTGACTCAAGTGACTAATTACTGCACTCAAAAGAGGTAAAAAAATTCAGTGCTTTGCAGACCAGAAATGGGCTATGATAATCCACTCTCCTTTTCTGGTATGTTAAATGACCACTCAAGGAACAGGAACAAGGATCTCAATCGGAGTCACTTTACATTACTGTACATCACTATGTGCTGTTCCCTTCCTTTCGTTTTATAGTGCCTAAGCTGTATCCCATATCTGTATATACAAATATCTATTTAAAGTGGCGCTATTGGGGAAGGCCTCTTGGGAAGCTTTACCATATAAGCCAATCATATTTTTTGCTATTCTCAATACTTATTGGGTTTGGGAGTGTGCTATTTCATATTGTGGCAACCCCAGGAAGTAGTTTTGGTCTCTTATGGAGCTCATCAGAGATGTACAGCCAACACCTTCACTTAACAAGTGAGCAAGGAGTTAAGATCTGGATTGCACTTTTGATTAACGGAGATTCTAGTATGAAAATAAAGGAAAAATGAAGAATAGAAAACAGACAGAACAAATTAGACCTAACATTGTCTAACAAAATCCTCGTAATGGGCATGTTTCTGATAGGAGGTTAAACTGGAATCTGATGTTTTAAACAAAAATCCAATAGCAAAGGAAGGAAGGAAGGCCATCGAGCCACAAGCAGTAATTGCAATTCACGGGAGAGAGTCTCGGCACAGCTTACAGTCGGCTGCCTCACTCACCTTTGTTACGGCTTCAGCTCTTTCATGCTCCAGTGTTTTTTCTTTCTGTTTCTCCGCTCTTAAGGCAGCAGTCGATGTCGCCTTCAAAGACATAAAGTCTAAGGTCATCCACTCGTCCCTCTAAAATGGAAAACACGGGTTGGGTTAGCATTAGAGAAAAATAAGACAAAAACAAAAGTGAAGGCAAAACGTGTCCTACGAATAAAAAGATTTAGTAGGATGTACAAACACGCTGAAGCCTAACAGATTAGAGTGACAGAAGCTAGATTTGAAACAGTGCGTGAACATCATGTAAAAATTAGTTATATAGCATTGGAATAAAGATTATTCATTGTAATCAAGTTTATTTACTGGCTATTTAGTCACAGTATAGGCCAGTTCATTGGATAAATAGGATGGTTTTCAATACTGCAGAACCAATACGAGCATAAGACCAGCAAGGCAAAGCCAGTACGGCAAAACTTAGCACTTTACTAATGGCTAAAACAGAGCGTAAGAGACATGCAGGTTGTTAAGTTATTCTCAGGAACACTTAACTAAGCCGAACCTCCTACCCAATGATTGCCACGCATTGATTTTGTCAGCACAGTATTAAAACAGAATGACATCTGTAACTATTTTCCTTTTGAAAGTGCAACACACCTATGGCCGCCATCAAGGGGTACACACGATACTGCTAATGCCCAGTGTGTGTGTATGCATATATATTTGCTGGGACCCCTCTTCACTGGCAGCCTGCACAATCCCACTGGACCACCAGGAAATGTAATACCTGGCCACATGTAGGAGGCAGCAGAGGCCGCATCGGATGGTCTTGAGGAGGGCAAAGTGCAGACGTGCATCGTCGCTGAACGCCTTCAGGGCAAACAAGTGGAATACACTGACGGATGGTGTGTAGAGAGGGAAGTAGCTGCTAACGCACGACCCTCGATTGAAACCTTGAGATTCCAGCCTGCAGCGCACAGCTATGTGGGACAGTGGGATACCGACAATGGGGATAGGCTGACTGCCAAGATGAGCCTCCTGCTTCAAATATCATCGCTATATCTTGTTTCTTACCATAACATGCTTACATTGTCTATCTGGTTTATTTGGTCTAGCTCCCAAGCTTGAAGTTTTTAGTTTTTCATTTTAATAACCCACAGTAGCAAACCTCAGACGTATAAGCATTCCTTCCTGTTACAACCTACCATCTTGTGGCTTTTGCAGTGGTACATACTATGCCTATCTATGCCTGATGATTTTCTAGTTCGCCATTATTATTATTGAGCTCAGACATGTAGCTTAGCGTCTTCACAAAATACTATCAGAAAATTGTGCAGCATTTTCATGTCACGTAATTGTTTAACTATGTTGTTTGCCATACTTGTTATTGCTGTCGTGGCTTGACAAATCTGCTTGTAATTTTTGCAATGTGCACAGCAAAAAAAAAAAAAAAAGTGTACATTCTAATAGCACAATTTATAGATGGCCCTTTGAGATAGCGATAACGTTGCAACCCTTTCCAGCTCTAGGCAGTGCAACTACTGTTGATCAAAAATCGAAAGTCTTATAAAAAAAGCTCTTTTTGTGAGGCATGGTTCACAGAAACAGATGGTTTTGTGAGAAGCAATCTCAAAATGTTTGAGTGATCTTTATACATCAATGTAGCGCTAACCCACACCTCCAATATTGTTTTTAATTGGACATAGAAAAAAAAAAAAACAACCATATCAATAGAACTTGGGGGAGGGGGGAGAATGGTCATACCAAGCTCTATAAATTTGGGGCAACTCACTGTTTAGTGAATAAAATCGAAATACTCAGCCTATACACATCTGTGGATTCTTACTGAATAGGAACACAGAGCAAATTGCTTTAATTCACAATAAACCACCACTAAGTGAAAACAGACTGAAAGGTCAAAACGAGCAAGCTCTAAATAGAGCGCAATTCATAACAAGATTTCGATGTTATTGCATTATTTTTACATCACACAGATGGGAATTAAGCCTACACATTCTCCTGTAATTAGTGATGCTTTAAAGACAAATTATGTCTAAATCCTTTATTAAGTTGTAGGCTAAGGATTAGGATTAGGTAAAGCACTGTTAGATTACTTTCCGACACCGCTAATAAAAAATAAAAAATTAAAAATAAATAAAAAGTTTGAAAATTCCATTTCAGGCTCAGTGTGAAATTAATTTGTTCTTTTTTCAATTTCGAAACAAATGACTTGCAGTCTAAACATCTTAAAGGCTCACTTTGTACATACAGATTTAAACCCTTCAGTCAGTTCACTGCACATACATTTATAAACATTTTTAAAATCATAAGTAATGGGGTCAACAGGTAAATGGAAATCTGTGTAGCTACGGGCAGCATGGGTCTTGGTACCAATGTTGTGGTCTATCCAGGGTATACTTGATCCTAATCAGAGATGAGACAGGTGAGTCACTAGCAGATAGTTCACGTGGTGTAAGCTGCACTAGATGTGAAATCCCCCAGCTGTAAATTGCACCCAACATGAGTTTTTCCTTATTATTCCGAATACAAAGTCATGAAGGAAAGATGGTAATTTTTCTTGTACAGCGTAATCGATAGTAGGAAGACTCTGAAACATTGTTTTTTTTTAACAAAGTATATAGGTGTCATACTACAAAGACAATTAACTGGAAATGGTGCATATCTAGTTTAACCCCTTAAGGACACATGACATGTGTGACATGTCATGATTCCCTTTTATTCCAGAAATTTGGTCCTTAAGCGGTTAAAGAACTGAAAGGATTTCTCCAAGCACCACGACCATTTCAGATTCAGATGATTTAAAGTGGTCATGGTGCCTGGAGTCTGTATGAGCAGCACCCAGACCACTTCAGCTCATTGAAGTGATCTGGGTGCTGTCTCCCTATTGCACTTAGTGCTGCACTTTTGGTCCATTATCTGACACTGGACATCCTCACAGACCTCCAGCGTCAGATTTTCCCCATAGGAAAGCATTGAATAATGCTTTCCTGTAGGGAGGTCTAATGCGCACGCATGCGGATTAGGTCTCCTCCGCCAGTTGGCTTTGGCGGGGGAGGAGCGTGGGCGGGGTCTGATCCGGACCCGGCGCTGGATTCAGGTAAGTGGCTAAAGGGGTTTTAACACCTTCAAACCTGCGGGAGAGGGGTCGCGAGGGAGGGGGGCACTATAGGATTCCTTTAACCAACATTCAAGTAGGGGAGCACTTGGAAAATAGTAATCACAAAACGTCTTTTGAAATAAATTCGAAAAAAAGCAAAAGCTCATGGGGTATACAAAAAACAATTTTTAAAGGGCCAATTTTTTTTAATAAGATAAAGGACATATTGACTAGCATAAACTCTCTAGTGAAAAAAAGGTCTTCAAACAAATATTAGATAGGTACATTTCTCAGAATGTACCATGAATTAATAAATATAAAATAAACAAGTTAAAACCAATATGGCTTGGTGGGAAAGTAAACCAAGAAATAAAAAATGAAAAAAGGTATTTAAAGCATTTAAATCAGACAAATTAGATGCATCCTATATAAAAGTTATAAGCCAACAATGCATGCAAAAAGGCAATTAGAATGGCTAAACTAGAAAATGAGAAATTCATAGCCAAAAAGCAAAAGCATCCCCCCAAAAAATTCTAAGCACATAAAATTCAAAAAATAAAAATAAAAAAAATAAATAAAGTGTAGGTACACTAAAAACAGAGATGGGAGTGTTCGTTTTTGAAGACCAGGATGTCAGGATTATATTGACCCAGCACGCACAATAGTATCACACCCTAGAACTAAGGGTAACGTGTTAACGGACCTTAGAATGGCCGGACATTGGAACGTACCCGAGAATAGTCAGAAAACTAGCCGAGGTCAGGAACACAGAACGAGACACAGCGATAAGGAAAAGTCAAGGGTAGCAAAACGAAGCCAAAAAACTGAAAAACACGGTCAGGAACACACTCTCGGATAACCATTATTATTATTGCCATTTATATAGCGCCAACAGATTCCGTAGCGCTTTACAATATTATTAGAGGGGGGGATTTAACTATAAACAGGACAATTACAAGAAAACTTACAGGAACAATAGGTTGAAGACGAGTTTACAGTCTGTAGGAGGTGGGGTATAAAAACACATTAGGACAGGAAATTGCAGTCAAATAAGGTGGGAGTGAAGCAGAGCTGGAGGAGAGAGTAGAGTGCTGCCCTTTAGGGGGGAGCAAAAGACAGGTATGTGAGGTAGAGGTTAGTCTGGGAGGCCATAGGCTTTCATAAAGAACTGGGTCTTAAGGCCCATCTTAAATGATTGAAGACTAGGGGACAGTCTGATGGCAGTAGGTAGGCAATTCCATCGGAAGGGAGCCGCCCGCGAGAAGTCCTGCAAGCGCAAATTGGCCGTACGGGTGCGAGCAGCGGACAGAAGGTGGTCAGGCAGAGAGGAGAGACCGAGAAGGGGCATACCTATGGATCTGTGAGGATATATAAGAGGGGCTAAGATTATTCAGTGCTTTAAAAGGTATGGGTTAGCACTTTGAATTGACTCCTATAGTATACAGGAAGCCAATGTAAGGACTGACAGAGGGGTGAGGTGTGAGAGGACCGACTAGAGAGGAAAATTAATCTGGCGGCAGCATTCATTACAGACTGTAGCAGGGCAATACGGCTATTGGGAAGACCAATTAGGAGAGGGTTACAATAGTCCATGCGAGAGATTACTAGAGCATGGACAAGCTCTAGTAGCATCTTATGTAAGAAAGGGGCGGATGCGGGCGATGTTTTAGAGGTGGAAATGGCATGATTTGACAACAGACCGGATGTGAGGCTCAAAGGCGAGGCCAGAATCAAAAGTAACACCAAAACAATGTGCTTGTAAGGATGGGCTGATGTGAATACCACCAATCTGAAGGGAGAGCGACAGAGGAAGATAAAGATTAGGAGGAGAAAAGACAAGAAGTTCTGTTTTGGAAAGATTCAGTTTCAGAAAGCGGGAGGACATCCAATCAGAGATAGAAGAAAGAGGTGACATGTTGCAGGACATCAGGGGAGAGGACCGGGGAGGAGAGATATATCTGGGTGTCGTCAGCGTACAGGTGGTATTAGAATCCGAAAGAGGTAATAAGTTTGCCAAGAGAGGCAGTGTAAAGATAAAATGGTAGGGGACCAAGGACAGAGCCTTGGGGGACTCCAACTGAGACAGGATGAATGGTGGAGGTATCATTAGAAAAAGGAGACACTGAATGAGCGTTGGGAGAGATAAGAGGAAAACCATGAGAAGACAGAGTCACAGAGACTGAGTGCTTGAAGAGTTTACAGAAGGAGAACATGATCAACAGTGTCAAAAGCAGTGGACAGTTCAAGAAGAATTAGTATGTAGTACTGACCTTTGGATGTAGCTCTGATAATGTCGTTAGTGACTTTGATAAGGGCAGTCTCAGTAGAGTGGAGGGGGCAGAAGCCGGACTCAAGAGGGTCAAGGAGAGAGTTGGAGTTGAGGAAGCAGGCAAGACTAGTCTTTCAAGAAGCTTTGAGGAAAAAGGGAGCAGTGATATAGGACGATAGTTAGAAGGGGAGGATGGGTCGAGACTTGGTTTCTTTAAGATGTACTACAGTAGCATGTTTAAGGACAGCAGGAACAGTGCCAGAAGAAAGAGAGCAGTTGAAGATGTGTGTTAGGGCAAAGGACAAGAGGAGAGAGATCTGATAAGGTGAGATGGGGCAGGATCAAGTGGGCAGGTGGTGGGGCGAGAGGAAAGGATAAGCGCAGCCACCTCTTGTTCAGTAGCCTGGGAGAAGGTCGGAAGGGTTGGAGAGGCATGATCCATCTAAGGGAAACCACGACAGGGCAATGAGGTAAGGAACAAGGGAGTTTAAATAACCCTCTTTGGCTGTACCTAGTCCTTGACCCCAAAATGTGCATGTGCGTCTTTTGCGTAACGTCACCAGCACGTCGATGTTGTCTTTACCGTGGACGGACTTAGGGCTATATAATTGCGTGGGTCTGCAGCGGCTGGCGTGCACCGACATGCCACACAAGCCAGGCATCATGGCAGAAGACCGCCGAGCGGCACTCCCCTTGATCTTCGGAAGGTAATTATCTCCATTTTTGCCACATGGATACGAAGGATCTGAGACACAGGAAAAGGCTGACATTTTATATAACTATTTTTCCTCAGTATATATTAAAGAGGGCCCTATGGTAAGAGATATGCATATGATTGCTGCAAAAAACTTGCAGAAAAATTGTGATTGGATGACTCAAAACAAGGTGCTACAGCAGCTAAAGAACATTAATGTAAACAAAGCTCCAGGTCCTGGCAGTATTCACCGACAATTACTTAACTTCTGTGGCTGGAAAAGTATTTGAAAGGTTATTAATGGATAATATTCAGGAGAAATGTTAGTGAAACATAAGTCAAGGTTTTGTGAAACATAAGTCAAGTCAAGCTAACCTAATTGCATTCTACAATGAAGTAAGTAGAAGTATAGATCAGGGTGTTGCAGTGGCTGTGATCTATTTTGATTTTGCCAAGGCGTTTGATACAATTACTCATAATAGGTAAGTGTTCAAACTAAAAGAATGTGGTGTAAATGAAAATTCTTGTCCTGTAGTAGAACAATGGCTTAAAAATAGAGCACAGAGAGTTGTCATAAATGGAAAATTTTCAAGCTGGACAACAGTGGAAAATGGTGTCCCTCAGGGTTCTGTTCTGAGACCGCTTCTATTTAACATATTTATAAATGATCTTGAAATAGACATTGAAAGCAGTGTTTGCAAATGACACAAAATTCTGTAAAGTAATACAATGTGAGAAGAATATTGCTTTGCTGCAGAGGAATTTAGATAGATTGAGGGATTGGGCACTCAAAGGGGAGATGAAATTTAATGTGGAAAAATGTAGTTATGCACTTTGGGGTAATGAATGCAGAAGCAAGTTACACCCTAAATGGTAGTTGTAACAAATTCTTTGTATATCGTATACTCTGTTCATTCGTATACTGCCGAAATGCTAGAGGCTTAAGTGATTATAGCCCGTTCGCATAGTACGCTGATTCGGACTCACCAGAAATCCTAAGGTTGTGGGAAAAATCAATCGGTTCACCGTTCCCATACCCAAACATCAGTCAAGACTTGATGAAGGGTACAATTGTAATGTTTTATTCCAGCCAATGGCCAACTTATATACACAGACCCCCAGCATGGGGTCTCAAGCAAAGACATGGTAAAACACACCCAAAACACTCCCACAACATGCACCGGAGTCTCTGTGCCTGGGAGATAATTTAGTGTACTTTGCTTAAACTAATTATCTCCCAGGCACTAGAGTTACAAAGTATAAAACATAAAATATTAAAAATACACATAACATATCTGAACCCGCACAAGCATTATATCCTTGGATAGTCTAGATTTGAGTGCCCAACTTGTCCAAATAGTTCTCAGATTTCACGAACACAGCCAAATCGCCACTGGGGTAAAGTTTTGATTGACTGCACACATGGCATCTGCCCAAATTGGTTCCAGAGAAAGTGTGGTAGTGGTCGGTCACTTTCGGGAGTTCAGAAACGAATGAAATGTCGAACAGTTCCCCTGGCTCATAGGTAGCGATTGTTCGTCTAGTTTGTGCAAACAATCCTACCGAACATCGCTCTCCTGTCTTGTCGGGAAAAGAAGCAGGCATTCGGGTAAAAACACCGTTGTTCGTAACGATCAAGTCCTGCTGCCTGTGTTAGTGCGACAAAATGGCCATTGTTTTCTCCAGCACATGTTGTTCGGAGATACGAACGGTGGCCACAGAGGGAGAGCACTTAAGTCTGTGGTTTCGTTGAAGTTTAATGAGCCAGGGGGTGGTCAGTGTTTGGTAGACTTGTCTACCAAACACAGGGGAATTAACTTGGATAATGAAATACAGTATTTTGTTACAGTAGTGAATTAGGGATAACAACAAATGAGAAGGATTTGGGAATTATTATAGACAAACTAGGCAACATTATGCAATGTCAACTGGCAGTTGCTAATGCCAGTATGGTATTGTAATGTATAAATAGGGGCATTAATTCTCAGGATGAAAATATACTTTTGCCTCTTTATGAATCACTGGTAACACCACACCCTGAATATGCTGTGCAATTTTGGAAGGATATTATGGCACTAGAAAAAGTGCAGAGGCGGACTTCAAAATTGATGAAAAGAATTGAGCATTTTAGTTATGAAGAGATGTTAATACAAACCACTGTAACATATTCATAAATATGACTATAGATAGGACAAGAGGTCACGCATTTATACCGGAAGAAAATAAATTTAGTCTTAAGCAAAGGAAAGGGTTTTTTTACAGTAAGAACAATAAGGATGTGGAATTCTCTGACTGAAGTCTATACAGAAGTTGAAACAGCAGTTGGAAAAAATACTTGCAAAAACTTGACGTATAAAGGGATATACATTTTAATTACTAAGATAATAGCTTCTTGATCCAATGAGATATACCACTGTGATTGATGAGCACGCTGAGCTCCTTTATTATATCACTTCTAAGTACTGTCCATTATGATAACAAAAAGACGCAGAAAACTGGCTACCAATTTAAACACAAAGAAAAGATTGAATCAGGTCATAATCAGGATAAACATGATCAAATGAAGAAATAAAAAAAAAAAAATACAAGGAACAAATATTTTGTATGCCGTTGAGAATCATATGTGGTGGATATGCATAACTTTGCATAAGGAAGTAAGCTAACAGATGTGTCTTTCAGCTGGCAGAAATAGACACGTACCAAGCGGCGTGCTGCAAAAAGCAAAATGTATACATACTCAAATATAAGTGCACAAAACAGATGTACAGACAAAATAAATAGCAGTTAAAACACTGACTAAAACAGCATCAGAACAATATAGAGACAAATTGTAGAGCAGAAATAAGGATCAGTCAGAACAGAATTAACTCAAATTAAAGAATTATTATTATTGGCATTTAAATAGCGCATATAAAATCCGTATTGAGAGGGATATTTAACAATAAATGAGAATTACAAAAACCTACAGAAACAATAGGATGAAGAGGACCCTGCTCAAACAAGCTTACAGTATAGAGGAGGTGGGGCGTAAAACCCAACAGGACAGGAGGTAGCAACCAAACAAGGTGGGAGTGAGGCAGGGCTGGAGGAGAGAGTAGAGTGCTGCCCTTTAGGAGAGAGCAAGGGACAGGTATGTGAGGTAGAAGTTATTCCTGGGAGGCCATAAGGTTTCCTAAAGAGATGGGTTTTGAGGCACTTCTTAAAGTATTGAAGACTAGGGGAGTGTCTGATCGTGGTAGGAAGGATGTTCCAAAGGAAAGGAGCCACGTGCGAGATGAATTAGCCAAAACTAGGACTAAAAACTGATCACTACTGGGCCATTGTTCCCCTGCCTACATGGCACAGTAATAACCAATACGTCAAACAAGTAACATCTTGGTAAGAGGAGGAACAAAAACTACAATTAAAAGATTTCACTGGGATCCAACTTAAACTGGTTATTTACTGAGCAGTAACTTACCAGGAATTAATTTGGGGTGTGCAAAAAATAGCAAAACTATAAATATACCTGACTTTGAGAATTGACCCAATTTGGCCTGAAATTTGAAATTTCCTTGTGAATTCCTAAAAAGTCACAGTTTTATTAAACAACCTGTAATTTCAATATCTACACAATCCCCTTTTATTATTTGATTTGGTGGAACAAAAAAAAAGTTTACAAGTAATTTAGTGGAACAATGTGTCAGTTAGTTTATACTACAAAAAAGGAGAGACTTCTGTCTGGATTGTACAATAACAAAAGCACATCAACATAATGTTTTATTTCAATATAACCAAAGAAATAAAAGGAAAAGTGGAAATGTGATAAAAAATGTGAAACAATTAAAAACAAAAAATTGCACAAAGTAGTCTAAAATATAAAAGCTGGAAAAAGCTAAATATTTAATCCCCATAATTTGTTCTCCCACTGCACATGTTTTTGACTATTCTGTCCACGGAATCATCCCGTTTCTTTATGGCAGACTAAAAATAGGCATCCACCTTCTTAGTAAGCAGTGATTTTACTTTGCATTTCAGAAAAGCAAATGAATAACATTTTATCAAGATCTCTTTTCATGGCGGAGTTATGAACGCAGCCATAGCCGTGATGCATGCAGAATGATTTTAGAGATTTTGACAGGACAGCCATGCAGGATGTAATTACGAAGGTTGTGAAATTAGATTGGGAAGTGTCCCTTTTTATACAGTTATTTCTAGATTGATGATAAACTGGGAGTCCAGCCACAATCAAGGTAGCCAAAATGACTCTCATAGCCAAAATGACTCTATAGGCACGCAGACCACTTCAGCGTAAGGAAGTCTGTACTGTGCTTACAATGCAGTGTGGATCAAAATGGGATTGGTACAATGCTTCTCCATTTTACACATGTACTATGCATAGCTACTGCTCTCTGTTAAATTATTTTGCAATGATACAATGCACTCTGGAATGGACAATGTGACAATCAGTGGTTGACACACGTTTAAAAATTCTATTTCCTGACAGCAGAACTGGTGTTGTGAACATATACCTTTATTTCTCCAAAAGTAAAAATCCCCTTCAATACAAAATATATCTTGACATAGATTTGTCAAGCACAAACATGAAATAATCATTTTCAGGTCGGTATGATCAGAGTGGGTTGTAAGCGCAAAATTGTTGTAAACTGTACCAACATCATATGTCCCTGCCTGAACTTAATATCTTTATCCACAAGAACCATTTCTGCCTTCCTGACAGATGTCACTGATTTGATAGAGCGTAAGGGGGCAACCTTTAGGAATGGGGGGGAATATCAAGTTGACTGATAGACATCAGTCTAAGTGTGTTCGTGTCTTTAAGTGTTCCTATGGCCATATGTCCAGACTAAAAGCTTACTGGCTTTAGACTTTTGCGGCTTTTAGCTTTTTCTACTGAAGAACAGATATTGTTAAGAAATTTCCAAATCTTGGCCATATATGTAGATTTCATGTGGTGATGGCCAACATCCCTCACACACGGTCACAACGACAAAGTCTATGTCTAAAAACACATCAACGGGTAACTCTCCAATATAGTAATTATTGCTTTGTTTTCAATAAATGTATCTATTCATCAAGAGCACTCAGAGACACGTCCATGCTCAACAGAACCATACATTTATTCAAACTTTTATAAAAAGTGTAAAAAGATAAAATTGCTAAGGCACTCATGACATTATAAAAATAGTTCCTTGAACAACATATTAATACAGGACATAAATACTTGTGATGACATTTCTTTTTCTCTAAAGGGATAGCTCTTGAAAAAGGATTGTCAGTCAAAAATATTGTGTATCTCTGGAGGGTCTGCTTTGTTTAAACATTTCTACACTCCATTGTGGTAGGTTTATGTTTGCTTTTATGAAGAACTGTGGGGGCCTGTTATACTTTGTCTCTATGTAACATTTATTTATGTGTTTAACTTGCAGTTTGAACAAATAGATCATTTTTTGGTGTAATGAATGTTCCACATTTTCAAAATGTTACCAATTGATTTAAAAAAAAAAAAAAAGGCGTACTTTATGGTGGAGACAAAAACATAACATCACAATATAAAAATATTGAAAATCAATGGAAGAAATTATTTTAACCTCACCTTAACAGAATCACTCTCTCTTGTGGCATCTTCATTCTTGATTTTCCAAGCCTTGTCTGTGCTGGCAGATGGGCAAGAGTTTGCCTCGACCCATTCATCCTCAGAGTCCTGCAACAATACACACTATTAATAGGACTGTATGTCCTATAGAAAACCTAGTCCACAAGCGTTATAACGCCAAAACCTAGCATGACTGCAATAGTTTTTACCACAACATTTAAAATAAAATAAATAAATAAAATTTAAAAAAAAAGCAGCCAGATGTACACAAGCATGCAGGAAGATACTCGAAAAAAAGTAAGTGTATACAAACAAAAATGACAACTCAAATCATTGCAACGCAATTTATCTGTGAATTGGCAAAACTGCAGAACACGTGCCCTGTCGAGAAAATAGTCTGAGTTTTAGTTTGATAATCTATGAATCTTACATAATTAAAGAGACATGCACCAATTTGAGACAACTGTCTCATTCAAAAGCTCTAGCTCTGCAAGCTGAAAAAACTGTTGTTTGTGTGTTTGTTTTTTTAAATGTTGGCATACGCTTTCCACACCCACGCCAAGGGGAACACCGATCTAGCCAATTGGTGTCCTATCCCTAGGAATATGGGAAATATGCATTGGGCATTCCTGACAGATGTACACATGGGCAGTTATAAGATCTCTTCCCCATGAACATTTTGACAGGGTGAGAAGAGAGGGATTCTGATCAGTGAGAACATGCAGATTTTTATCTCCTGCTGCACAATGATGCCTTGTTTCTATCATAAGTGGACTGGCCTGAAACTGAGCTGGGATGGGGCAGGCTGGAGAAATGCCCCTGGCTGAGAGGCATGCTCAAAATTGCAATCTGTCCTCTCCAGATCTCATCCTGATTCCTCTGACTTCCTCTCTACTATTTCTAACTGGACAGCTGCTCATATTCTTAAACATAACTTGTCCAAAACAGAACTTTTTTTTTTTCCCTCAAGTGTTGCTACTCCCGTGTCTGTCTCCCTCCAAGTCAATTGCACTACCATCCGTTCTACCTTGCTAACTAGGTGCTCTCACTGACTCCCACCTCTCCTTCAACACTTATGTCCACTCACTCGCCAAATCCTGCCGCTTCCATTTCAAAAACATAGTTTGCATGTGCCCCTATTTAACGCCGTATGCGGCAAAGGTGCTGGTTCATGCCACTATCATCTCTTGCCTTGACTAATGCAATCTGCATCTCAATGGTCTTACACGTTCCCAGTTGGCATCGTTACAGTCTAGAATGAACGCGGCAGCGAGGCTCATCCACCTTTCCGCCCGCACCTACCATGCTTCCCACTCCGACAGTACTTATACTGGCTTCCAGAAATAGTTAGGGGTCAATTTAAAATCCTGGTGCTTGCTTATAAATCTCTACATAACGCTTCTCCTACCTACCCAGCCGCACTAATACAAAAGTATGCCCATTTGAGGCCCCTATGCTCTGCATCTATTTTCTGTTTGTACTCGCGCCTCTGATACCCATCTTCCAATGGAATGCCATTCCCTGCTCTTTTAGACTCTCACCCACTGTTAAAAGCTTTTCCTCCCCACACCTTGCTTCCTGTATCATCGAAAACTGTATCATTAAAAAAAAAAAAAAAAAGAAAAACCTTCATTGCAAACTATTCTACCGACCTACATTGTACTCTTACCTCTTTCGCGATTACCCCACTCCCACTAGAATGTAAGCTCATTTGAGCAGAGCCCTCAACATCCTCTGTTCATGTGCATCCAGCTCTTCTTAAATATTTGCTAGTCCACATATTGCACAGTGCAGTGGAATATGTTGGCAGTTTATAAATAATAATAATCCTAACATTATAGCACTATCCACTAACAATAAATATAGCATAGTAATTCTAACATTATAGCGCTCTCCATTGACAATAAATATAACATAGTAACATTATAGTGCTCTCCAGACAATAAATATCGTATCATGGTAATCCTTGTTATAGCACTCTCCACGGACAATAAATATGTCACAGTTATCCTAACACTTTTGTGCTCTCCGCTGCTGACAAATATTGTAGTTCAGTAGTCCAATATATTTTTATGGGTGTTTTTAATTAAATTGCAATAGAAGGTTTTGCTTTGCAACATAATGTTCTGTCCCGTAACACCTTTTAAGCTGCATACCTGGGAATTATCGCTGGAGCTTGCGTTATTTTCTGATTTTTCTTTCTTGTGTTTTTTCTTTTTTTCTTTCTTTGCCTTTTTATGGGTTTTGTCTTTTTTCTTTTTCTTTTCCGAATTCTAGAACAGCAGAGAGAACAGTTACAGATTGACAGATTTTGCGATGGTTATGGTCATTTTTGTTTGTCACCATAGGTAAACAGAACGTGTTCACGCACAAATTGATCAATAACTGCATTTAAAATGTCTGTATCCCAGCAGGATGTGAAATCTATTGTCTATGTCTCATAAAGGGTTGAGCTTCTACATTATCTAGTAAAATGCTATGGACTGAATAATAAAAGTACCAAATGGACAAAAGGAGGATATGAAGAAAAATGCATGATGTGAGATAGCTTAGTGGTAATGGTTCCAGGTGCAGTATCTCAGAGATATAAGTTAATTCAATTTAAAGAACCTCTAAAGTCATGCAGGCCACTTCATCTGAATGATGTGATTGGGATCAGTGGCCCTTTCATTTTAACCCCGCAATGTAAAATATTGCAGTTTTGTAGAAACTGCAATGTTTACACTAAAGGGTTAAATCCACCTAAAGAGTGTCCCTTCCTGAGAGCCACTAGAGGGGCTTTTATTGCACAGGCCAAGGAAAACTGTGTGACTAAGAAGCTCATAGGAAAGCAATGGATTCAATGCATCCTCGATGACATTGTGGGAGGCAAAGAGGTGAGCAGCACTATAAAAAGGTGAGTAAAAAGCTCTGTTTTATTACAGTCATTGGAAAAAGGGGGGAGGGGAAATCTATATAGAACTAGGGACAGGGGCACTGTAGTGTTCGGAATGTAGGATTGTATTCCTAGTTCTATTATGTTCCTCTCAACTTAGCTGCATATACAGGCACATGTAAAACAGTCCCAAAAATGGCACCGTAAGCTTGTGGCCCGCACCAAACAAATCAGGCCATCCATCACATACCCCCTTTCCCCCACAGAAACAGACAGCGGGCACATGGGGATATGGCACTCAGTGACGGCGTTCCGTCAGACTTGTTACCTGGTTCAATTCTTCTAAACGTTCATTGACATCATTGAGCATCCATGTGTCCTCCCCTCTTAGACGTCTCTGCTCTTTCCTTCGCTCTGCCTTCTCAAATTCATCTTTAGCCTAAAGATATTCCCAAAACATGAATGTGGATTCATCAAGCACAGCATTATAGCTAAATATATTTATATTACAGGCAAACATCCAATTTGTGACAGCTCAATATTGCATCCTCTAGAAAATGACTATTTGGATTTATATTGCCCACATGCAATGACAACCAATTAACCTGGGTTTATCTTTTTTTCCCCTTTTCAAACACACCTTGCTCAGCAGCTGTTCTCGTGCTTTCTTTGTTCTTTCTCTCTTCTCTTCAATGTTCCTTACGCTTTCAAAGCTGCCCTCGTATGCTGCCATCAGTGCACAACAATCGTTACTCACTGTGATATAAAAAAAATAAAAATAAAATGCAGTCAATTCACATTCTCAGAATTATTTCCAATAACGTAATTATCCTGATCTTATACGGAGAAGCAAAAATCACTTGATCCTTTTGAAAAGCAAAAAAATATATAAAACTATTCAGAATTAATACTTTGCAAAACAGTTCAACCCTTCACAGACATTCTCCTTCCTCTTTTTGTTCATTAACTGCTAGAATATTGTTTAAATTCCCTATTAAACCATCAACATGCATTCTGTGTAACAATTAATCTAAAGATACATTGCATTATGTAAATGTGCCACATCGCCACTTTGGGAACATGTTGCATGCACTTCGTTATTATTTAAGTTCCATGCATAAAAGGAGACATTATAACCGGGGGAAAAAAAGCAGGGATAAAGAAAAAAATAAAGTGTTAACTTGCCACATTACTACATCAACAAATAATTTCAAACAAGCATGCCTAATCTGTTGTATTTTGTGCAGAGAATTAAATATCTATCATAGAACGTTAAACATTTATTTACTCAATTAAGAAAATGCATTATAAAGTAAAATGCAGAGGCGTGTGAACGTAACCACACACACACACACACACACAATACAAAAAACTGCGGTCCAGCACAGATCTAATTGTTGTACATTGCTGTCTGTAAATACAGATTTCCATATACTGCAATAAATGTTCTGTGTACGTAAATCATCAGCACCAGATGTTAAATTTGAAAGCAGTCTTCACTGTAGTCTAGTTCCAAAACCTTTGACCTGGCTGACAGACCCAAACACAATACATGAAAATTCTCCTCTATACTACATTTTAACTGAAACAGTTATTCAGGAATTAATAGACCACATGGTCCCCTAAGAAAATGTCATGTAAACCATGGACTGTGCCAGTCAAATTGCTAGCATGTGTACGTATATAAATTGCTATATGGATCATTAATAAGTCAGTATCAACGATTCTGCTTATTATCTAAGATAATACACAGAAGCCATAACACTTGCATGTGATACCACAGGAACATCCAACACATGTATATGGAGTATTGTCTCACAAAGAAGGGGCACTGGTTATTAAACCTGGGTTGTTCTATGTATTTCAGTTTCTTCAACTAATAAAATACTCCCTATCATTTTAATATTAGGGATAACTGCTGCTGAGCTAGAGTACAGTTAATACAATATAATATATAATACCTAATAATCTGTTCATTGATTAATTCTAACCGCATTATTACTTTGGGATGTGCCTTATGAGAGGTGTACATTGAAATTCAGAGGTTCACAAATATCCAGAGCCTAAAAAAAACGGCTTCACATTAACTTTGCTATAAACCAAAACAACTCTAAAAAGCCAAGGTGACTACATATTTGTGGATAGATTGCAAGCTCCTTGGCACACTGAGATGGACTGAGATAAACAAGCAAGGGATGTGATTTCCAGACTGTGCTGTTAGAATGTCTCTTCCTTCCAACAATCTGTCTGACAGCATGCACAGCCATCAATGACACGCTCACAGTGAAGGCTTACCGACATGCAGCAGTTGGATAAAGGAGAATAATGCTCTCTGTCTTCCTTCTCTACAAAAACAACCTCATGCGACCTGCAGAAGGCGCGCTCATATGACGTCACGAGCTGTTTCTTGGAAGAAAGGAAACCGTGGGGTCTGCACTGCTGTACCCACCTTCACTGGGTGAGCCCGGTGCCTTCTACAGCAGGTAGCCCGAGCTGCTGGGATAACCCGATATTGTGCCTAAGGAGGCATGGCATCAAGGGCGCCGACATGCTGCTACACCCGGAAGTAGAGAGGAAGCCCTCCAGGAAAACACATTTTGGCTTCTGGTTTTTATGGCACATAGTTAACAGGAATTTAAGCCCCATAGTGTAGCTTGTAACTGAATCTATACAGTCTGAGAGGAACACTCCCTGTATTTAGCCCATATCCCTCTGTCCCCATTTTCTATCATAGTGTCACTCTTGTAGGAGCTCCATAGTTACATAGCTGAAAAGAGACTTGCGTCCATCAAGTTCAGCCTTCCTCACATTTTTGCTGTTGATCCAAAAGAAGGCAAAAAAACCCAGTTTGAAGTACTTCCAATTTTGCAACAAACTAGGAAAGAAAATACTTCTTGACCCCAGAATGGCAGTCAGATTTATCCTTGGATCAAGCAGTTATTACCCTACATTGAAAAATTATATCCTTGAATATTCTGTTATGCAAGTATGCATCTAGTAGCTGTTTGAACATCTGTATGGACTCTGATAAAACCACTTCTTAAGGCAGAGAATTCCACATCCTGATTGTTCTTACAGTAAAAAAAAAAAAAGTTCCTTTGCCTTAGACGAAATCTTCTTTCTTCCAGTCTAAACGCATGGCCTCGTGTCTTATGTAAAGTCCGGTTTGTGAATAGATTTCCACACGGTGGTTTGTATTGGCCTCGAATATAGAGCTCCACAGCAATAATACTCACAGTAATGTGTTTAGACTTCAGTCTGTGTAAATAAGATACACTGTTCTTGTTCTAAATTCCTCTTTAGTTGCATAAATTGTTATTAGTAAGTCACCTAAAATGTCTCAGACCAGCCCTTCCCCTGGCCACACGTCCACTCGTACTCCTAAAATGAAAGTGTCCCTTTTTGTCCATTTGAAATGTTGGTTGGTATAAAATGATAAATGTAGGCAACCCTCCCAATCACCACAGCTAAATCAATCACCAATGGAATTTATAAAGCGCCAACATATCCCAAAGTGCTGTATAATTGGGGAAAATCAATACAGTATAAACAGACCAATATAAAAAGGTAAAGGGTCCTGCTGTGAGCTTACAATCTTAAGGTTAAAAGGGGGGGGGAGACAAGAGGTAGCAGAGGAATGTGGAGATGATGGCAGAGAGAATTAATCATATAATTGCAGTAACTGATAACATTGAAAGGAATGAGTAGGTGAATGACTGTGATTCCAAACTGCTAGAGGAGCATGCTATAAAGTTAGGAGGAACCTGGGTGGGTAGAGATGAATAGAATTCAAAAGGCTTGTTGAAGAGATGTTTGGGGATTGTACAATGGTGAAATGATTTTAACCCATACGTGGGAAATAAAAGAAAAAAAATATTTTAAGGTTTAACTTTACCTCAGTATCTCTTTTTTTGTATAGCTTCCACATTAGCAATAAAGCAGTGTCTTGGTCATATCATTTGAAATCAGTTTAACCCAGAGAATAATGTCCACAGCCTACAACTGCCATAACCACTTCAAAACCATGTAGTGGTTAGGATGCTGACACTGTCCCTTCATGTACACTTTGTATCTTTATTTAGTCTTTAATGTATTAATGGTACCTAGTAAATGGTCCTTCTATGTTTAGAAATAGGAAAAGGTAATTAAAGTGAACCTATTGTCAAAAATTTAACTTTAGATAATTCATCCCCAAATACATTGAAAACCTCAAAAACGCATAAGTGAAAATGCCGGTGACAGGTATCCTTTAAGTTTAGAAGCAAGTTGTAATGCATGATATTTAATTATTAAATTAACATTATCAGTTGGTTATCCTCCCCTTGCAGATTCATTTTGGTCCAGAAGGATTATTAAATGTAGAAGATAAATGAAAACTCAGGTACAGAAATATTAGTCTTCATAGAAACATAGAATGTGACAGCAGATAAGAACCATTCGGCCCATCTAGTCTGCCCAATTTTTTAAATACTTTCATTAGTCCCTGGCCTTATCTGATAGTTAGGATAGCCTTATGCCTATCCCACGCATGCTTAAACTCCCTCACTGTGTTAACCTCTACCACTTCAGCTGGAAGCCTATTCCATGCATCCACTACCCTCTCAGTAAAGTAATACTTCCTGATATTTTTAAAGCTTTGTCCCTCTAATTTAAGACTATGTCCACTTGTTGTGGTAGTTTTTCTTCTTTTAAATATAGTCTCATCCTTTACTGTGTTGATTCCCTTTATGTATTTAAATGTTTCTATCATATCCCCCGTCTCGTCGTTCCTCCAAGCTATACATGTTAAGATCCTTTAACCTTTCCTGGTAAGTTTTATCCTGCAATCCATGAACCAGTTTAGTAGCCCTTCTCTGATACTCAAGTATCAATATCCTTCTGGAGATACAGTCTCCATTACTGCGTACAATACTCCAAGTGAGGTCTCACCAGTGTTCTGTACAATTGCATGAGCACTTCCCTCTTTCTACTGCTAATGCCCCTCCCTATACAACCAACCATTCTGCTAGCATTTCCTGCTGCTCTATTCGCGATGTCAATCAGCAGTGGCCAAGGCCAGTAAGGTATTGTCATGCATGAAAAAGGGCATTCATTCTCGGGACGAGAATATCATTTTGCCTCTTTATAAATCACTGGTAAGACCACATATTGAATATGCTGTGCAATTTTGGGCACCTGTTCTAAAGAAGGATATTATGGCACTAGGAAAAGTGCAGAGGCGGGCTACAAAATTAATAAAAGGAATGGAACATATCCGCTATGAAGAAAGGTTAACAAATTTAAACCTATTTAGTTTAGAAAAACGTCTCCTGAGAGGGGATATGATAACATTATACAAATATATTCGGGGCCAATACAAACTATTGTGTGGAAATTTATTCACAAACCGGACTTTACATAGGACACGAGGTCATGCGTTTAGACTGGAAGAAAGACGATTTAGTCTAAGGCAAAGGTAAGGTTTTTTTACTGTAAGAACAATACAGGGAGTGCAGAATTATTAGGCAAATGAGTATTTTGACCACATCATCCTCTTTATGCATGTTGTCTTACTCCAAGCTGTATAGGCTCGAAAGCCTACTACCAATTAAGCATATTAGGTGATGTGCATCTCTGTAATGAGAAGGGGTGTGGTCTAATGACATCAACACCCTATATCAGGTGTGCATAATTATTAGGCAACTTCCTTTCCTTTGGCAAAATGGGTCAAAAGAAGGACTTGACAGGCTCAGAAAAGTCAAAAATAGTGAGATATCTTGCAGAGGGATGCAGCACTCTTAAAATTGCAAAGCTTCTGAAGCGTGATCATCGAACAATCAAGCGTTTCATTCAAAATAGTCAACAGGGTCGCAAGAAGCGTGTGGAAAAACCAAGGCGCAAAATAACTGCCCATGAACTGAGAAAAGTCAAGCGTGCAGCTGCCACGATGCCACTTGCCACCAGTTTGGCCATATTTCAGAGCTGCAACATCACTGGAGTGCCCAAAAGCACAAGGTGTGCAATACTCAGAGACATGGCCAAGGTAAGAAAGGCTGAAAGACGACCACCACTGAACAAGACACACAAGCTGAAACGTCAAGACTGGGCCAAGAAATATCTCAAGAATGATTTTTCTAAGGTTTTATGGACTGATGAAATGAGAGTGAGTCTTGATGGGCCAGATGGATGGGCCCGTGGCTGGATTGGTAAAGGGCAGAGAGCTCCAGTCCGACTCAGGCGCCAGCAAGGTGGAGGTGGAGTACTGGTTTGGGCTGGTATCATCAAAGATGAGCTTGTGGGGCCTTTTCGGGTTGAGGATGGAGTCAAGCTCAACTCCCAGTCCTACTGCCAGTTCCTGGAAGACACCTTCTTCAAGCAGTGGTACAGGAAGAAGTCTGCATCCTTCAAGAAAAACATGATTTTCATGCAGGACAATGCTCCATCACACGCGTCCAAGTACTCCACAGCGTGGCTGGCAAGAAAGGGTATAAAAGAAGAAAATCTAATGACATGGCCTCCTTGTTCACCTGATCTGAACCCCATTGAGAACCTGTGGTCCATCATCAAATGTGAGATTTACAAGGAGGAAAACAGTACACCTCTCTGAACAGTGTCTGGGAGGCTGTGGTTGCTGCTGCACGCAATGTTGATGGTGAACAGATCAAAACACTGACAGAATCCATGGATGGCAGGCTTTTGAGTGTCCTTGCAAAGAAAGGTGGCTATATTGGTCACCGATTTGTTTTTGTTTTGTTTTTGAATGTCAGAAATGTATATTTGTGAATGTTGAGATGTTATATTGGTTTCACTGGTAATAATAAATAATTGAAATGGGTATATATTTGTTTTTTGTTAAGTTGCCTAATAATTATGCACAGTAATAGTCACCTGCACACACAGATATCCCCCTAACATAGCTAAAACTAAAACAAACTAAAAACTACTTCCAAAAATATTCAGCTTTGATATTAATGAGTTTTTTGGGTTCATTGAGAACATGGTTGTTGTTCAATAATAAAATTAATCCTCAAAAATACAACTTGCCTAATAATTCTGCACTCCCTGTAACGATGTGGAATTCTCTGCCTGAAGAAGTGGTTTTATCAGAGTCCATACAGATGTTCAAACAGCTACTAGATGCATACTAGCAAAAACAGAATATTCAAGGATATAATCTTTCAATGTAGGGTAATAAGTGCTTGATCCAAGGATACATCTGACTGCCATTCTGGGGTCAAGAAGGAATTTTTTTCCTAGCTTGGTGCAAAATTGGAAGTGCTTCAAACTGGGTTTTTTGCCTTCTTTTGGATCAACAGCAAAAAACAAAGTTGAGGAAGGCTAAACTTGATGGACGCAAGTCTCTTTTCAGCTATGTAACATTGTCTGCTTACCTTTACGTTATCAGAAATAATTACCCCTAAATCCCTTTCCTTAGATGTTGGGATTACAACTCTATCAAATATTCTGTACTCTACCCTTGGGATTTTACGTCCAATATGCATTATCTTGCACTTATCCACGTTAAATGTCAGTTGCCAGAACTCTGACCATTTTTCTAGTTTACCTAAATCATCTGCCATTTGGCTTATCCCTCCTGGAACATCAACCCTGTTACATATCTTAGTATCATCAGCAAAAAGACATAGCTTACAATCAAGACCTTCATAGCTGCAGCATTTTTTTGTAATTGCGGCTGTTATAAGCCACAGTGCCTTCCTATAAAAGCATAGATTGTGATGGCAGATAAGAACCAAATGAATAAACGCAGGTAACACTCCAACAGTAAGGATGGTAATTTTATTAACGGGTAAACCACCCCACAGAAAGTGCTAGATGTGACATTTCAGCTCAACATTATTAAAGCTCTACTGAGCCGAAACGTCGCACCTAGCACTTTCTGGCCCATATAGTCTGCCCAATATTCTAACCTGTTCTAGGAAGCCAGTGAGCGGAGCCTGGAGAACTGAGGATAAAAAGTCAAACTATTAGTGATCAGTTTAGCTACTTACACAGTGGCAGATCAGAGGGGAGCACCTGGTCAAAATCCCCCAGAAACCATGGGAACAACGTATGTCTGTCTGGCAGCAGCAGCTAAATAAGCTGTCATGGCCTCTCTGTCCACAAATGCCTGTACAAGTTGTTTTAAAAAATTGCCCCCACTCAGCAAACCTGCTGCATATACAGGGGCATGGCAACCACTCAGAGGAATAAAAATTTAATTTATCGATAACATTTTAATTATATTAATTGGTACATCCAACAAAATCAGTGTTTAAACATTAAAAAGACATGCTGTACAGCAGAGCTTAATTCACACAAATGTTTGGACAATAGAACATGAATTTCTTTTAAGAAGAAATTCAACTTTAAAAATTTCACTAAGGGGGCGTGGCTAGCTGAGAAGAAAAAAACTGACTCCTTGCCACGAAAGTGCACAATCTTTGACAACTTTTTGCAACCTGGGTACCCCCCCCTAAGAGAGATGGGGCGAAAACATAAAAAATTTGCCCTTTACAGAGAGTACCAACCTCTCTGATATCCGTCTGTTCTTCAACAGACCAACCTCACAGGCCCAACATAATATGGCGTCTGGGGAACCACGTGGCTCCAGTGACTCCGAACCATCCCAAGATGAAGAGAGAGCCCAAGCATCCCATTCCCACGGCAGGGTATACCAGAGGACCGACTCGGATTCCAACATATCTCCCTCTACTAAATGGGATATTAAAAACCTCCTTGGGGACCTGAGGGAGGTCTGGAAAGCGGACCTCGCATGAGTGCAGGTGGAGATTGGCGGCATGAATCGCAGCATAGGGGCTGTCGAGTCCAGGGAAGGGGAGCAGGGGGAAAATTGGATGATACAAGATCTAGAATGGACTCAGCCAACAAGTGCACCGCCTCTCTCGTATAGTGACTTCCCTGGAATCGGAGGAATATCAGAATCCGCGGGCCCAAGAAATGGTAGGCCAAGAGGCCTTGTTAAGCTTCGCCCACGAAGTTATGCAAGCATTCGGAGTTAAGAAAGATGGTGAAATGCCACCCTTCGTGTCGGCTTTCAGAGTCCGGAAGGCTCCCACGGCACCTGTAGACGCACCACGGGACATTTCTGTCAAATCCTCTATTATCGCTCGATCCATACAACAACATTCATTGGCTGAGAGTGTCAGCTGACCGCAATTCTATGCAACTCTAGCCCAGGCTGGCAGATGACACCACAATGACGCTGCCCGAGGTGGGTTTACATCGCTAGTAACAGGCACCATGACCTCTTGAGATCACTGAAGTGTTTATGTTGCTTGGAGTAACTCTCTAAGTTTAAGTAATGGTTATCTGATTACAACCACCATCTCTCCGTTAGTCAAAATTAACCCTTTATAAAAAATTATGTTCCCACTTTTCACACCTCACCTCACCGTTATCAATCAAGTACCATCATTTATTTACCCTAGGGTAAATTTCAGCATAAATATGTATACACAAGTGATAACACTCTCACCAACACACACAAAACAGAGCACATAAGAACCCAAAGAAATGCATCTTTCACTGTATTTGCTAACCAGAGTTTACGACTTTTCAGGTTTAGCCATGATACCTGATACATGACAGACAAGAGGAGAAAAAACAAAAGTACCATCAACTTATGCAGCCCATGAGAAAAGAAAAAATAAATAGATTAAAGGTTACTTGAAGGGCGCTGCAAATGCGATTGTATCATATACTCACAGAGTTTTGGAGGTTAAAAGGTGCTGTATGAAGCAAAACTATTTGGATCTCAGATTAAAAATGGAAATGATTGATGATATTTATCTCTGTGGACCTGGACTCTGCTCAGTTGGATTTCATGAGCTCTGTTTGTGAACTAGAATGTACAGTACGGACAGAGTTTAATTGTGTTCTAAGAGCCGTGACAAAGGACAATGGAAATACCTGAGATTGATTCTCACTTGTGTAATGTTCTCATTAGCGCTCTGATGGCATGTGTATTATATGACAGAATAAATTGCTATTCTTTGCCATGTTAGGGCTCTTAATATTCTACTCCTGTCTTTCCTGGATCAATGTCTCAGTCCCTTAACCGGGGATCTCATTACATTCTCAACAAATCCATGAAATCATAGGTGGCCTCTATTGCATGAGCTTTCTTCATTAATGCAGAGGCACTTTATATAGCAAGTATTAATATGGAAATGACACAGTTCACTGGAGAGGGCCTATAGAAAATGAGGGAACAATAATAACTCAAGCCATTTTGATATTTCCCTAGAAAAATATATCTCATTAAATCATACAAAACTAGCCTTTCTGTCATTGTTTGGTTTTTTTTTTTTCACAAGATCTTTCTGTGTATAACAAGTGCTGTCCTTAGCTATTTTGTAAAATTGTCATTGTTTCTTCACGGAGGACTATTGAGAAATTGAAGGTGGTTTAAAGTCGAAAAAGCAGTGTGCTCCGATAGAAACCATTTATACTTAATGTATCACTTTCATGGCTGGTTCTAAATCTGTTCCTTACAATTTAATAACTCTTCTCCCTCTGAAAGATTCAGCATTCCATAAGACACCCTTTTCCGACTTCCACCAGCCTTCAGCCTGTTAAACCATTATGACCACTGTGAGAAGCCATCTTGTCAAATCTACCTTCCTAATTTATTTAAATATTCCTAGATATTTTGATGTTTACATGAACACTTTTAATATTGGATGTTGCTCCAATTCACTGAATACATGATACTGTAAGAAATTATCTGTCGTTTTCAATTTTAACAGCAGGATCACCATGTTAAAATTATATTAAAGGCTCAAGATAGGATATGTATCATTGTGTTTCCTTAGGGTTACTGTAAAGGAGAATATGAACTTGTGTATAGGGAGAGATTTTTTTTTTAGACTGTGTTGGCAGATGTTTATTATGACAATTTGCAAACACACGAGCATTGAAAATCAGTTTCTGTGAGTAGCCTGGTAGAGCCATGCAAATATAATTGATGGTCAGGTAATTTTGGGGTTAAAGCAGACAAAAACACTGACAGTGTCGGGAGGTAACTTTCCTATACATTGTCTGATCCACTTTAAATCACGCTGCTTGACCTAATGGACTGAAAATTGGATTCTAAAGGGGCACGCAGCAGTTGGCATTGGGAGGTTTTTGCATTAAGCTGTTATATACATGTTATTGTTTTTGTTGTTTGTTTATTTGCACGTCTCTCGCTCCTTTATCTATTCTAGACCGTGCTCTGGTAATGTTTTTTGTAGACAGATTGGAGGAAACAAACGACCTTCCTAACATTTTGGTTTCTGTTTACGAATTACATGAGATGAGTGAGGCTTTAAATAATTGCATAAGACATGATATGGACAATGAGAAGGACATGGATGAATGGGGACAAGAGGTGAGTGGAAGGTAGATATGAAAAGATAGCTCTTTGAGTAACTTGAATTTAATGGCACAAAGCATGAGTGGAGCATGACATGAACGAGTAGGGAACAAGGAATGTACTAGGTACCTGGGAATATGCAATGTAGGGGAAGCCAGAGAGGGGGGCGTTTTGTGTCATGACCAACAACAAGCACAAAGTAAGCACAAAGTAAGTGTGTTCGTTCAATGCTCTTCCTTTGCAGCCCATGCACAGAGCCCTGCTGAAGAGTTCTTGCATGGGAAAAAGGGCCACGTGTAATCTTCAATGCTGTGTTTGCTTGTGACTTGTCTCTGATACCAGAGAACAAAAAGGCCATGATAGAGTACTGTTTGGTGGCAGTTCAATCTTAACAATAGCTTATATTTATTAGTATCTCCAACAAATGCAATACATACATACATACAATACATACACACAGACTGCTGAATACAGTCACAGACTGCTGAATACACACACAGACTGCTAAATGCACACACAGACAGACTGCTGAATACATACACAGTCCGATGAATACATGCACACAGTCCGCCGAATAAACAATCACAAACATACACACAGACTGCTGAATACGTACACACAGCCCGCTGAATACACACACACACAGACTGCTGAATGCACACACTGCTGACTACACATACAGACAGACGGCTGAATACACATACACAATGCTCTGAATACATGCACACAGTCTGCTAAATAAACAAACAAAAACATACACACAGACTGCAGAATATGTACATACAGCCCGCTGAATACACACACACACACACACAGACTGCTGAATGCACACACTGCTGAGTACACATTATTATTATTATTGCCATTTATATGGCCCCAACAAATTCCGTAGCGCTTTACAATACTTTGAGAGGGGGGAAGTAACAATAAATAGGACTATTACAAGAAAACTTACAGGAACAATAGGTTGAAGAGGACCCTGCTCAAACGAGCTTACAGACTATAGGAGGTGGGGTATTAGAAACATTAGGATAGGAAATATCAAGTAGGAGTGAAGCAGAGCTGGAGGAGTGAGCAAAGCACTGTCCCATAGGAGAGAGCAGGAGACAGGTATGTAAGGTATATATTACTCTGGGAGGCCATAAGCTTTCCTGAAGAGATGGGTTTTAAGGCCCTTCTTAAATGATTTAAGACTAGGGGAAAGTCTGATGGCAGTAGGCAAGCTATTCCATAGGAGAGGAGCCGCCCGCGAGAGGTCCTGCAAGCGCGAGTTGCCGGTACGGGTGCGAGCAGCGGTCAGGAGATGGTCACGGGCAGAGCGGAGGGTACGAGGAGGGGCATATCTATGGATTAGTGAAGAGATATAAGAGGGGCTAGAATTGTTCAGTGACTTAAATGTATGGGTTAGCACTTTGAATTGACTCCTATAGCATACAGGGAGCCAATGTAAGGACTGGCAGAGGGGTGAGGTGTGAGAGGACCGACAAGAGAGGAAAATCAGTCTAGCTCAGGGGTTCTCAACGTTAGTCCTCAGGACCCCCTACCAGTCCAGGGTTTAGGGATTACCTGGGTGTGTCTCAGGTGTTTAGAAAAAGAAAAAAAAAACACCTTAGAGTCTAAGGTGTTTTTTTCCCTTTTTCTAAACACCTGAGACACACCCAGGTAATCCCCAAATCCTGGACTGGTAGGGGGTCCTGAGGACTGGGTTGAGAACCCCTGGTCTAGCTGCAGCATTCATTACAGACTGTAGCGGGGCAATACGGCTTTTGGGAGACCAATCAGGAGAGGGTTACAGTAATCCATGCAGGAAATTACTAGAGCATGGACAAGCTCCTTGGTAGCATCTTGCGTAAGAAAGGGGCGGATGCGGGCTATGTTTTTCAGTTGGAACCTACAGGACTTGGCAACAAACTGGATGTGAGACTCAAAGGTGAGACCAGAGTCAAGTATGATGCCAAGACAGCGTGCTTGCAGGGATGGACTTATGTGGATATCACTGACTTGAAGGGAGAGCGAGAGAGGAGGATCAGTATTAGGAGGAGGAAAGACAAGGAGTTCAGTTTTAGAGAGGTTAAGTTTCAGAAAGCGTGAGGACATCCAGTCAGAGATGGAAGAAAGGCAAGCAGTGACACGTTGCAGGACGGCAGGGGAGAGGTCCGGGGAGGAGAGGTATATCTGAGTGTCATCAGCGTACAGGTGGTAGTGGAATCCAAAAGAGGCAATAAGTTTACCAAGAGAGGCAGTATAAAGAGAAAATAGAAGGGGACCAAGGACAGACCCTTGGGGAACTCCAACCGAGACAGGACGAGGGGAGGAGGTATCCTTGGAAAAGGAGACACTGAATGAGCGTTGGGAGAGATAGGAGGAAAACCAAGAAAGGACAGAGTCACAGAGACCGAGCGATTGAAGAGTTTGAAGGAGGAGAGCATGATCAAAGGTGTCAAAGGCAGCGAGGTCAAGGAGAATTAATATGGAGTAGTGAACTTTGGATTTAGCGGAGATTAGGTCATTAGTCACTTTGATAAGAGCAGTCTCAGTAGAGTGGAGAGGGCGGAAGCCAGACTGAAGAGGGTCAAGGAGAGAGTTGGAATTAAGGAAGCGAGACACACGAGTAAAGACAAGTCTTTCCAAAAGCTTTGATGAGAAAGGGAGCGGGGATATGGGACGATAGTTAGAAGGGGAGGATGGGTCAAGAGATATTTTTTTCAGGATAGGTATTACAGTGGCATGTTTAAGGTCAGCAGGAACAGTTCCAGAAGAGAGAGAGCAGTTAAAGATGTGTGTTAGGGTAGGCACAAGACAAGGGGAGAGAGATCTGATGAGGTGAGATGGGACAGGATCGAGCGGGCAAGTGGTTGGGCGAGAGGAATGGAGAAGCGCAGCCACCTCTTGTTTAGTAGCCGGGTAGAAAGTCTGGAGGGTAGGGAAAGCATGATTAACATGTGGTTGAGAAAGAGAACGGCAAGGAGAGGAGAATTGTTTCCTTAGCTGTTCAATCTTGTCGGTAAAGTAGCATGCAAAGCTATCAGCTGTAAGGTTAGTTTGGGGGGTGTCCACAGCAGGGCGGAGAAGGGAATTAAAGGTGTCAAAGAGACGTCTGGGATTGCGGGAGCATGAACTAATGAGAGAGGAAAAGTATGACTGTTTGGCGAGGGCGAGGGCTGCACTGAATCTATAATGGAGAAAGTCTGCCTGGGTGCGGGACTTCCTCCAGGAGCGTTCAGCACAGCGGGAGCAACTCTGCAGATAGCGTGTTGATTTATTATGCCAAGGTTGGGGTCGTGTCCTCCTCGAGGTGCATGTTTGGAGTGGGGCTGCAGCGTTCAAGGCAGATGTGAGGGTAGTGTTATATGTGGAGATGGCCAGTGAGGGACAGGAGAGGGAAGGGATGGATAGCAGTTGTGAATCAAAAGGTCAAAAGAGTTAAGGTTCCTCCTGAGCTGAAGGGGGTTAGGCTGAGATTGTTGGGTGAGGGGGTAATTGAGAGCAAACGATAAGAGGTGGTGATCAGAGAGAGGAAATGGAGTGTTGCAAATATTAGATACTGTACATGAATAAGAGAAAATAAGGTTGAGGGTATTGCCAGCTACATGAGTGGGAGAATTAGCCCACTGCAAAAGTCCAAGGGAGGAAGTAATTGAAAGTAGTTTAGATACAGACAGACTGCTGAATACACACACACAGATAATGTTGAGTACATACAGACTGCTGGATACACACACACACAGACTGCTGAATACATACAGACTGCTAAATATACACACACACACTGCATTAAGGGGTGCAGTGTATGTGTTTGTGTGTACGGGTGCTGAGTGTGTGTGTGTGTGTGTGTGTCTGAGGGTGTGTGTGTGTGAGAAGTGCTGT